CCCACACACATCACTCAGTCACTGGACCAGGGCCACGCAGGACGGGGTGAGGCAGCCTCCTGCCGGGAGGAGGAGTCCTGCAAACCATCCTGAATTCATGGAAGGGGAGCTGGGCGGCCCTTCACATCACCCACCCGAGCGAGCAGAGGCAGATGCAGCCCCTGCCCAGCGAGGCTTCCGTCTGGGGGCAACAGGCATCAAAAATGTGGACAAGCGAATATCTATGGGATGACAAATGGCTGAGGGAGGTGGAGGGTGCTTTCAGAGGCCAAATCAGCGTGGCCCTAACGTAGATTGTGGTGTCCTCTCTGAGGATGGGGCATCTAAGCTGAGGCCCCAGGGATGAGCTGGACTTGGGCAGCTGAAGAGTTGAAGGGGGAGCCCAGGATATGCAAAGGCCCTGGGGTGAGGTGTCTGTCTCCGAGGGCTGCTGTAACACATCACCACAATCTGGGTGGCTTAGAACAACAGAAATGTATCCTCTCACAGTTCTGGAGACTACAAGTCTGAAATCAAGGTGTGGGCAGGGCCATGCTCCTGCTGAAGGCTCTGAGGGAGAATCTATGCCTGGCCTCTTCTACTCTGATGGTTGCTGGCAAATCTCATCTTGTGGCTGTATGACCCAGGTTCTGCCTCTGTCACCATGCAGAACTCTCCCTGTGTGTGTTTCCACGTGGCCTCCTCGTAAGGACACCGGCCATTGGAATGAGGGCCCACCCTAAATCTAAAATGACCTCAAATGACCTCATCTCCAGATCCTTCACTTAATGACATCTACAAAGACCCCATTTCCAAATAAGGTCACATTTACAGGTTCCAAGGACTTTGGGGGTGGTGGGACACAATTCAACCCATGGCAGGTGAGAACAAGGTTTGCACATCTGAGAAGCAGAAAGTGGCTGGTATGGCCAGAGCTGAGTGGAAGGGGAGCAGAGGTCAGCAGATGGACCTCATAGGACCTTGAGGCTGAAGTCAAGAAATGAACTGTCTTTTCAAACCAGATCCTCTTTGGTAATCGGGTAGCTGTCACCGGGGGCAGTGGAGTGACGAGGCCATGTGTCTCTCTGGGTGTGTGGGGCTCCCAGAGAGCGTGGCAGCACACGGGCCCCGCGTCTTCAAGGCTCAGATGTGGTACCGCTGCTTCTGCCTCATTCTGTTGCTTAGTACCACTCTCCCAGCGGGTCCTGATGCAAGAAGAGGAAATGGGCTCTCTCACAATGGGAAGAACTCTGAGGCTCCACGCCGAGGATGTGGAGAAAGGGAGGGAACAACGGAGGTCATCCTAGCACTCGCTCCATCAGAGCTGGATTGGAATCGTGGCTGTATGACTTCTGAGCTGTGACATTTACATTTCCCTTTACTCCTCTCAACAAACAAACGTGGGTAATAGCTAGTTTACAACACTGTTGCCACGTGGATCAGGGACCACGTCCAACAAAATGTGGAGTCCCAGCTCTTCCTCCCCAACTTAATCACATCATTGCCTTAAGCCCCTTCTCCGCATAACCCTCCAAACAAGTCAATTGCCAGCTTTCAAGGCTCACCGCCTCCAGGAAGCCTTCCCTGATAGCACGCCGACCCACCATGACCAGAGCGCGACCTTTGGAAAGCCTTTCTAAACAAATAAGTGATGCCTAAAATGCTTTGGGGCGTTACCTTTTCTACTTAAAATGTCTCAAGCCCCCAACCCATGTGCCCCAAAGAGCCCAGCTTCTGAATTTGGTAAATGAACTAGATTTTTTAAAACATAGATCAAACACTCACCCCTCCCCCCAGCCATCCTGTTTGCCTTCCCAGAGGAAATCACTGTTACCAGTTTCTCGTCTATTCCCCCAGAGATAGCCAAGCAAGGGATCAGTAAACATTTTCTATAAAGAGACAGGCAGTCAATAGATTCGGTTTTGCAGGCATATGGCCTTGGTCGCAACGACTCACCTCTGCTGTCTCCAAAAGCAGCCACAGACAAGACATAAGTGAACATGTGTGACTTGGTTCCCATAAAATTTTATTGATGGACAGGGAAATGAGAATTTCATATCATTTTCATGAGTCATGCAACGTGATTCTTCTTTTGATATTTTTTTCAACCACTTAAAAATGTGCAAACCCTTCTTAGCTGTGAGGCCAAGACAAAAAACGGCAATAGGCCACATCCGGCCCAGGACACGGTTTGCTGCCCGGCGTACAGAAGCAGGCGTGCAGAGAGACCCCCGCGCCTTTCTTTTCTGCACCAACGGGAATATCCTTGTGCACCGTGCTTTTTGCCCTTTTATAATATGCCTTGCCAATTATTCCACCTCTATAAACACTGACCTCCTTCATCCTTCTCTTATAATCTTCAAAATGTCTTTTTAAAGAGATAGTTAATAAGCTCTTTATTTTAGAATTGCTTTCAATGTACGGAAAAGTTGTGAGGACGCTCGAGTTCCCACGCACCCTGCAGCCAGTTTCTCCTACTGTGAACATTGCTGTGGTACGTTTGTCACAAGGAACGAACCCACATTGATGTGTTATTACTAATGGAAGTCCGCGCTGTGTTTGGATCTCCTCAGCTTTCCCCTGATGTCCTTTTTCTTTTCCAGAATCTCATCTGGGACCCCACATTCCATTGGGTCATCCTGCGTCCTGAGGCTGTTCCTGGTTGTGTCAATTTCCCAGACGTCCCTGGTTTTGGAAGACCTCCACAATTTTGAAGAGTTCCGGTCAGGGATTTTTGTAGGATGTCTCCCCTCCCACCCTATTGGAGTTTGTCTGACATTTTTTCGTAATTAGACGCCTCATGTGGAGGAAATCAAGGGTCTAACTCTCTCTCCTCTCTCCATCCTCCAACCCTTCCAAGATCTCTCCCCACAGCTGGCCTTTCCCTGGTGGGACATTAATTACTGCAGAGCCTAGACAGACTTCTCATTGCCTGAGTACATTTGTGAAGGCAGCCGTGATCGATTGGAGCTAGTTTAGATTTTATATTTACCTGCTTTTTTTTTTTTTTTTTTAATCCCCGTGTCTAATCAGAGAGCCCAGCCTGGTGGGGGCCAGGTGCCCCTGGATAATATTTGGTGGGAGAGAAAAGGAGGCCGGAGACAAAACGGGAAGGCAGGAAAGCAGGAAGGCTAATAATAATGTTACAACCTAGCTGTTTATTAAAAGCCCAGGGATATACAGCCCAGGAACGGTTCTTCCTTTCTCCGACATGTGGGGACCATATTTTCTTGGCCCAGAGTTGGGTTGTGCGATTAGCCGAGAGCATTCCATTTTCTTTTAATACCTTTGAAAGGCCTTCTGATTTGTGAATTTCTTTAGGGAAGGCTACGTTTAGTTGCACATTTTAATAAAGGCAGTTCCTGAAAATAATAAAAGAAAAGTACGTGAAACCAGGCCTGGCTGGGCAACCCACACTTGCCCTCTCATAAAGGGCTAAGATCTCAGCACTGCCTCGTAAAGCTTGCTCCAGCCTGTTCTGACCAGGGTTGCGGTGTGCAGAAAACAACCCCCTAATTGTCATTTAATTAAAGAGCAGTTTCATACATATCAATAAATAGCTGTTGAATAAAAAATGACTTGGAAACACAGTGACCTCTTGTCACCTACTCTGGGCTTGAGGGTACATTTTTACATGGGTGTGTGTGTTTTCTTTGAATAGACAGTCTACTGTAAGAGGTGGACAGGGCAAAGTCTGACCTTCAGAGTAACCTACTACCAAGCAAGTAAATCCTCAAGTAATAGGTTGAAGAGACACGCCCACATCCTTCCCCTGGAACCTGTGAACACGACCTTACTTGGAAAAGGGTCTTTAGAGACATCAAGTTAAGGATCTTGAGATGAGACCATCCTGGATTTAAGATGGGCCCTACACCCAATAGCAGGTGTCCTAACAGAGAGAACAGAGGGGGAGATAGATTGATTCAGACACCAGAGGAGAGAAGACCACATGAAGACAGAGGCAGAGGTTGGCGTGATGCAGCCACAGAGCCAAGGCTCCCCTGGAGCCCCCAGAAGCTAGGAGGAAGGGTCCTCCCTCAGAGACTCCAGGCACAGCTCAGCCCTGCTGACACTTTGATTTTGGATTTCTGGCCTCCAGAACTGTGAGAGAACACATTTCTGTTGTTTTAAGCCACTAAGTCTCTGGAAACTTGCGGTAGGTGGTAGGGAACCAATACACCCCATAATCGTATGTCGACTGAAAACAAAAATGCACAATCTAAAAACTGAGAATTGTGTTTTGTTCAGCAGACTTACTGAGGACTTAAGCCCAGGAGGATACAGCTTCTCAGGTAGCTCTGAGGGACTGTTCCAAAGAGGTAAAGGAGATGACAGGATATATGACTTTTTCCGCTGGGGGGGAAAAAAAATGTAGTTGAATATCAAAAGATTACTGCTTGGGCTTCCCTGGTGGCGCAGTGGTTGAGAGTCCGCCTGCTGATGCAGGGGACACGGGTTCGTGCCCCGGTCCGGGAAGATCCCACATGCCGCGGAGCGGCTGGGCCCGTAAGTCGTGGCCGCTGAGCCTGCGCGTCCGGAGCCTGTGCTCCGCAACTGGAGAGGCCCCGGAGAGGCCGCGGCAGTGAGAGGCGTACCGCAAAACAAACAAACAAAAAAAAAAGATTACTGCTAATCACAGAAACAGACATCTCGAGTTAATGATTTTAGCACTTTTAGTGTGGGAAGATGCAAGAGCCGAGGCTCATTGAAATTATTCCTTTGATTGCATCTTAACTATCTTGGGCCAGGATCCTGTTTAAATACAGGAAGTGGCTAAAACGATTTCTGAGCCTGAGCAGAGCTAAAACGCTGTTCCTCCTACGGGCAATCCCCCGCCAATGTTAGGGACCAGCGCCCCCTGGCGGCCTGGCCACTACGTTGGTCTCTCCAGGCGCCGCCAAACAGCCTGTGCCGGCGCAGAACGCAAGCGCTCAGGCCCACCCCTTGGAGGGTGTAACTTCCTTGGGTTGCTCTCTTTGGCCGCGCCCACTTCCGGGGCGGGCTACGCCTGGAGCACGTGACTTGGTTCCGGCTTGCGGAAGATGGCGGCGCCCAGAGCCGTAGCGTGAAATTTGGTGGTGGTAGTCGCAGGCCGTTCGTGCTGGAATCACAACAGTGGGACCGTGCGCCATGTCGCGACTGATCGTGAAGAACCTCCCAGATGGGGTGAGTGCAGAGCCTGGACTTGAGAATCTGAAATTGGGACCAGCTAGGAGTTGGAGGTTGGGAGGGAGGTGCCTGGGGAGAACTGAGGGGCTTTCGATCTCGGGAAGGATTCCCGGAGGATTCAGAGCCCGAAAAGGGATTCTCGGCAGATTCCCCGTTGACATTTGGGAGAGAGGGACAGTGCCTGCTCAGGGTTTCACAGCCGGCCCGATGGTACGTGATCCCAGCCAGACACCTCCTTCCCCGGGACATGCCAGCCCCCACGCTGTGTCGAATGCCTTGCTCCCACAGCCCTCTTGTCAGTCGCTTTTTTGGGTTGACTCGTGACTGGGTCAGACACTGCGCCTGTATCCCTCTCCCACTCGGGACACTGTCTGGGAGGAAAGTGGGGAGCAATAGACTGAGGACCTGCGTTCCAGTTCCCACTCCCGCCTCTAGAGAAGGTAGGAATAAATAGTCGAAGAAAACTGAGTGAGTGTGCAGGGCTTTAAACAACTTATCCAGTAAGTGGGGAGGGGTGCCCCAGTCATACCTGTCTCCGCCTAGAGTCCGCACGGAACGTGGCACGTGGTAGGTATCCAGTAAATACATGCTGAATAAATGAGTGAAAAAATAGTTGAATGTGTGGTGTCAGACGGTTAGTGCGTTGTGCCCAAGTGAATCATCCGTACCTATTTCACTATGAGTTTTCTTGGACAGAGAGCCCCTACACGACTGGTGTGGCCGGTATACTCATTCCCAGAATACAAAATGTGCCGTTTGGATGGCATGAGAGATCTTGTGTACTCCTTAGAAAGAGTGAGAACATAAAGCCAGTTCTGTTTCATTGTTGTGGTTTTTTAACTTTACTTTTTCCGCCCCCTGGCGGATGGGGGGGCACCTATCATACGATTTTTAAAATTCAGTATAAAACGAGAAGCACAGTCTTTTTTTCCATCCTATTCTCCATCTCGCTCCAGGAGTAACCATCTTTACGGCTTGCATCTCTTGACAAGTTCCTCATCTCAAAACCCTTAATGTAATTACATAGTAAGCTCTCAAAGCGTTAGCTACTGCTACTACTGTTATTAACTCTTTCATTCATCAAACAAGATGTGCAATGGTAAGAGACACAGCCGTACTGAGAAGCAAAATGAGATGGTAGTTGAGAGGGGAAGGAAGGGTAGCCGTGCTAAAATCCTCATCCATCAGAGTGAGGCATCAAGAGACGCTCTCTAAAGTTGATGGATGGATCAATAATAGATATTTTTTAAGTGTACTATTTAGAATGAATGATGGAAGAATTAAAAACAATAAATAACAGGGTGGAGGGAAGGGATAGTTAGGGAGTTTAGGGTTGACATGTACACGCTGCTGTATTTAAAACGGATAACCAGCAAGGACCTACCATATAGCACAGGGAAATCTGCTCAATGTTACGTGGCAGGCTGGAGGGAAGGGGCGTCTGGGGGAGAATGGATACATGCAAATGTATGGCTGAGCCGCTTTGCTGCGCACCTGAAACTATCACAGCATTGTGAATCGGCTATACTCCACCATAAAATAAAAAGTTTAAAAAAGCCAGTAAATAACAGAGACTGGAAGGGAGGAATAGATGACGTAGGTTTCTTATTTTTCATAGTGGGAGTCAGTAGATAGTCATTGGGTAAATAAGCCAAGAAATGAAAGTGAGAGCTCAGTATAGGGACATAGAGCCATGCTTATGAGGAGTCCTAAAAGCAAGCTATAAAGATAGCTTGAGAGATCTTGTGTACTCCTTGTGGTAGAAAGGATACTCCTTTCTACCACAATTAGCAGGCACTGTGTAGTTTACCATTTCCTCAGTTCACACGTCATTGTGACAGGCATTTGTTAGGTGTCTGCTTTGCAGCAGCCATGATGCTGGGCTGCTTGTACGATAGGTCTCCTTAGCCTCCTAGCAGCCCACAGGATACAAAGGTTTCAGTGCAGTCATTCTGAGTCTTGATTTCTTTATCAATGAAGTGGGGAAGGGCCTTGCTCAAGGTCACACAGCGAGTAAGTGTTGGAGCCAGAGCTGGAACCGGGTCCAGCTGCAACGCATGCTCTGCAACCGCCCCTTCTAAGGTCACCTCCGGGGAATCCCAGGGCCTCAGGTTTCCAGCCCTTTTTGTCCCCTTGGCTCTGAGGGCTCCCCGGCTCCCCCCCCCCATCGTCCCCCTTCCATCCTAGATGAAGGAGGAGCGTTTCCGGCAGCTGTTCACCGCCTTCGGCACGCTGACGGACTGCAGCCTCAAGTTCACCAAAGGCGGCAAGTTCCGCAAGTTCGGCTTCATCGGCTTCAAGTCCGAGGAAGAGGCCCAAACAGCACTGAACCATTTCAACAAGAGTTTTATCGACATGTCCCGGATCACGGTGAGTGGGTGTGAATCTCACCCTCTCCTGCCTGTCAACAGCGACCCACTGGCTCTTTCTCTCCACGCTCAAGTCCAAAGCCTGTCCCCTTCCAGACCGTGACATCTTTGGTCTTCCTCACTGTTCTCAAGCTCCCATGCTTGTGAATCCCCTGCAGCGTTTGCGGAAACAGTTTCCCCAGAGTTTCTGATTCTGTGTGCTGGGGGAGGGGATCCAAGAATTTGCACGTCTCACGGGCTTACAGGTGATGGTGATGCCGCTGGGCCCAGGATGAGAAGCGCTGGTCTACATTATTCGTCCACTCGCCCAGTCAGTGGCTGAATTGTCTGTGCCGGGCGTGGTGGCAGGCGTCATCATCCCCCTCTCTGTCCCTCGCAGGTAGAGTTCTGCAAGTCGTTTGGGGACCCAACAAAGCCCCGAGCCTGGAGCAAGCATGCCCAGAAAACAAGCCAGTCCAAGCCCCCTCCGAAAGACAAAGACTCCATCTCCCCAGAAACTAAGAAGGTGCGTGGATGGTCACTCCTGGCCGCATCCGGGTGTCAGCAGGGTGGTCACCCCAGCAAGGCAGGGGAGGGGGAGGGACCTGAGAATCCCTCTCGGATGGTTCCTGAAAGCAGCCCTCCCAGGGCAGTGCGTTTCCATCTCCTTTCATCGTGACCCTCACCACCTGTGCCTTCTGTTTTTAGGATGACAAGAAGAAAAAGGTAGCAGGTGCACTGGAGAAGGTGAGTCTGTCCTGGTGACAAGCGGAGGGTGGGCAGTGAGGGCGGGCCCGGCGGGCAGTGCCTTGCCATGGCTGTGGCTCCTTGGTCTTTCTGTCTGATGAAGAGTCCACGCCGCCCTCCCTGGGACTGACCCAGCTGGCCCCAGAGGTCCTCTAGAGACTGGGGGAAATGGCCTCGGAAGATGTGCTTACCCTCTGAAGAGTTAGCAAGGGTGAGCCCTGCCTGAGCCTTCTCTGCCCGTTCTCCCTCCTTCCTGCTTCCCTGCCGCCCGGCACCTGCAGCTGAGGGAAGATAACGAGTTCCAGGAGTTCCTGTCGGTTCACCAGAAGCGGACGCAGGTGGCCACCTGGGCGAATGATGCCCTGGACGTTGAGCCCTCGAAAGGGAAGAACAACTTGGCCACAGACTACCTGAACTTCGACTCCGACTCAGGGCAGGAGAGTGAGGAGGAGGGAGCCGGAGAGGCCCCAGAAGGTAAGGGTGTGGCCCCTACCTGAGTGTGCGCCCTGCAGCGCCCGGGCCTGTGCGCACGTGACCTGGGGCCCCTCCGCGCTGGGCCCAGGAGACAGCGAGTCAGACGCTGCCCCGTGAAGCAGTGATTATCCCGCCTGCGGGTACTTCGGCTTTGACCGATCCTGGTTCCTTATTCAGTCAGTTGATTACTCACTCAGATATTGATTGAGCACCAGCTGTATGCCATGCGCTGCTTCAGGCATTGGGGATATAGGAGTGAGCAAAAGACAGGGAATCCTGCCCCCGTGGAGCTGTCGCCCTGGTTGGGGAGAGAAACAATAAAGACATTGGTCTCCTATTTAGTATATGACGTGAATACTGGTGCTGCAGGGAGAAAGCAGGAAAGGGAGGAATGTAGGAAAGGGGGACGGGAGAGTCACCGGGGAAGGCCTCCGAGGAGGTGGCCCTTGAGCACAGGACTGAGGGAGTGAATCTCTGTCCTCAGAAGAGGGTCACGGTGTCATGGGGGGGCCGTATGGACCTGTGAGCGATTGTGGCTCAGCATGGTGAGTGCCGTGGTCGTGGGGTGGGAATCGACTTTGGTTAAAAGGTGAGGGAATGAATTTAACGTGAGTTTTATGGCTGGTAAAGTCTCTGCAAAGCTGGGATCCGAAGGACTCACTGGGAGTTGGTGCGACTCAGAAGGGATGGGGTGAGAGAAGGGGTTCCAGGCAGAGGGAACAGCATGGCAAAGGCGCAGAGGGAAGGAAAAACAGGAACTTGGAGGGGGGTTCCACATGGCTCAGGGTGGCTGCAACAGTGGGAGCCGGTGAGAAGCCAGTGAGCTCACCGGGCCCGACGAGGAGTTTGGGTTTCACCCTGAGAGCATCTGGGAGCCCCTGGTGTGTTTTGATCAAGGAGTGAGAGTCCTCTCTGTAGGCTCAAAAAAGTCACGCAGCCTCGCAGTTGGCGAGGCTGGTGAGGGAACCCCGAAGTTCTCAGTGTGTAGCACGGAAACTGTCAAAACTCCATCAGTTTCTCCCCACTTGACGGTATTTATTCAAGGACCTACTGGGGACTGGCTGCTTGGCACGGGGCCCGTGGTCACCTCAGGCTTGGCACCTTACGTGCCACCCACCGGTCACACCCCCATGCTGTCTGCTCTCCAGCCCTCTTGTTTGCTCACAACCATCACCGGCTCCCAACCTCTCCGTTTTTCCAGAGGAAGACAGCAGCCTCGAACCCAAGGCAGCCACACGGAAGGAGCTGTCGGACATGGATTACCTGAAATCCAAGGTGGTGGAGGCCGAGTCGCCATCCTCAGAGGAGAGTGAAGATGAAGCCGTGAACTGCGAGGAAGGGAGCGAGGCCGAGGAAGAGGGTTCCTGCACCCCTGCCGCCCGGCAGGACAGGGAGGCGGCCCGAGCCGAGGTGCGTGTGCATCGGGGTGAGCTTGGGAGCCTGGGGAGGGAGGAGGCCTGCTTGGCCCTCGCCCACGTTCCCTGCAGCCCCTTTGTCGGGGCCTGTAACGTCAGGGAAAGACAGCTCAGCGGCCCAGAGACCTGTCTTCAGGTCTCAGTACTGCTGCTTGCTTGCTGTGTGACCCTGGGCAAGCATCTTCCCTCTCTGAATTTATTTCCTGTCGCTAACGCAGAGGCTGCCTGCCCCTCTTGACTTGGGGGGGAGGGGGGCGTAAATGAGCGGAAAAAGTATCCCAAGCATATTGTACTTCGTAGTTACTAGCAAGGTAGACAGGTGTGAGTCCGTAATCAACAATAATGGATGAAATTAATTGAACACTTACTACATGTGAGGTTCAGTACCTGGCATGTCATTTGTCGTTGAACCTCATGGGAATCTTGGGGGATGGGGATTCTTGTCCTCTTTTACAGGTGAGGAAACTGAGGCCCAGAGAAAGGAAGTGACTCGCTCAAGGTTTCGGCTGGGAAGCGGTGGGGTCAGCACCCAGACCCAGGTCTGCTGGGCTCTGGAGTCTAGGTCATAAATGTGGGTGCTTCCTCTGGGGATGGCCGCCCCGTCTTCCACCCGGGGGTCCACTCTGCTTAGGGCAGCTTCACACATCCTTTGGGTCTTCATTCCTTCATCTCCCTCCTCCTCTTTCTCCTTCCCCCTCTCCCTCCGTTCATTCTCTTTCCCTTCTAATTGCCACCTCCTGTCCTTTTCTCCTAGAGATTCTAAAGAGGTAGTCGAGTGTGGCTAAGTCAGGGAGCCATGGGTTCAAATCCCAGCCCTGATGTGGAGTAGCCATGGGATGGGGTGAGGCGCTTCTCTTTGGGCCTCTGATCTTCATCATCTCAGGTGATGCTCAGCAGAGCACTGGTCTCTGTGTCCAGTTTCCAAAACCCCTGCACCTGGGTGTGCACTGGAAATCAGAAGCTCCAGGTTTCAGGGAGGTACCCCATAACTTATACGGGTCCATAAAAGCACAGGACTATTTCTGCAGTGAAGCTAGAAATGATTGCTCATCTACTTGGGATAGACGTAAACCCTAAATTGTGACGTAACAGCTCAGAGTGGGCTTTGCCGGCAAATGAGTCTAAGTCAGGGCAGGTTTTGTTACCAAACGAATTAACCAAAAGATTAGGTTTCTCAGAGCTGTTTCGATTCTAAAACTACAGAAGACATCCCAAACCCTGTAAGATTCAAGAGGACAGCTGTGTCTGCAAAGTGATTTGCACAACATTTGGCACAGAATACGCCCTAAATAAGTGGTAGCAAATGTCACCGTACCTCAGGGCTCCTTCCCAGGCTCTGCCCCTCCATGTGGCCTGGCACCCCTGTGAGCAGACCCCCAGCGAGCCGGCCTGTGTTTTCCCCCGTCACCTCAGGGGCACATGGAGGGTTGGCACCGCCTACCGCAGGCTCTGGCCAGACTCCGCGTCCTTGGCAGGCACCATGCTTCCGGCATTGCCAGCTGGCCCTGGTGCCAGGGGCCTTGCAGCGTTCACTGCGATGCCCGGGTCGGCACCTCCTGCGGCTGCACCAGGGAGCTCACTGTGGCCGTTTCTGTTCTTTGCCGTCACTCAGACCGAGACACCAGCCAGCCAGAAGGAACGCTCCACCACCCACACCGTGAAGCTGCGGGGAGCCCCGTTCAATGTCACAGAGGTACGCGCCAGTAATGGGACGGGGTGAGGAGCCCCCGGGGAGCAGGAGACAAGGGTGAGGGTCCCAGGAGCCTCTGCTGCACGGGAGCTTCAGGATCAGATGAGGACTTCAGCTGGAGGGAACTGGGGGCCAGAAAGACTGATACATAGGATCTTGGGCATCGTCACGGTCGGGAAACAGGGCCGCCTATATTGAGACCAAGAAGGACTGGTCTCAGTCACCAGTCATCTATGCTAGGGGTGGGCATACTTCTTCTGCTAAAAAATTTATAAAGGACCAGCTAGTAAATACTCAAGGCTTTGTGATCAGTATGGTCTGTGTTACGACTACTTAACCCTGCTGTCATAGCACGGAGGCAGCCCGAGGTGAGAGGTGGCCAAATAGGCCTGGCTGTGTGCCAGTAAAACTTTATTTACAGAAGCAGGCAGTGGGCCACGTTTGGCCTGCGTACTGTAGTTTGCTGACTCTGGGTCTACACAGGAGAGAACACTTTGTCAATTTCCCTCCTCATGAAAGTAGTAGAAATTCAGCATAGGAAATGTTTTTTAATGTAGCTAAATAACAAGAAGTAAAAATTACCTATCACTATAAATTGCCAACCAAACTGTGTTGAGAGAGAAGTGCTAACCAGATGGGGTACCAGGATGCAGAGCTAATTACCTACAGGTCTGATTACTATAGGAGTAAAGACTGTCCCAGGCAAACTGGAGCAAGCTCCCCTCAATCCCCCACGTCTGTATCCCATACACTGACAACCAGTAATAAATTCTGAGTATATCTTCTTAGACATCTTTTTCTTTGTATAGAAACGTTCACCTGTGTTTTTCTTTTTTTTTTAAAATTAATTAATTAAATTATCTTTGGTTGCGCTGGGTCTTCATTACTGCGCCCGGGCTTTCTCTAGTTGCGGCGAGCGGGGGCTACTCTTCGTGGCGGTGCGCGGGCTTCTAATTGCGGTGGCTTCTCTTGTTGTGGAGCATGGGCTCTAGGCACGTGGACTTCAGTAGTTGTGGCACGCGGGCTCAGTAGTCGTGACTCGCGGGCTCTAGAGTGCAGGCTCAGTAGTTGTAGCGCACGGGCTTAGTTGCTCCACGGCATGTGGGATCTTCCCGGACCAGGGCTTGACCTGTGTCCCCTACGTTGGCAGGCAGATTCTTAATCACTGCACCACCAGGGAAGTCCTGTGTCTTTTCTTTTTAAAAAGCAATCCTACAGTAGGAACTATTTTGAAACTCTTTTCCTCCCTCATCACATTATGTCATAAATATCTTTGAATATTGAATATTTTGCTACAGCATCATTTTTCACATTGCGTGCTATTCTTTACTCTGGACACACTGTGTTACGCTCACCCAACCTCCTAAATTGAGACATGGGGATTGTTTCCAGTCTTCTGCTGATTTGAATAATAATGCAGTCAGCGCATTTCTTGAGATCAGAGGTCAACAGATGTTTTTCTATCAACATCATTTAGTGCATATTTTAGGCTTTGTGAGCTATATGGGCTATTGCACTTTTTTTTTTTTTTTTAAAACCCTTGGAAAATGTAAAAACTATTAGCTTGCAGGCTGTGGGCAATATTTGGCCTGTGGGCTATCGTTTGCCAACCCCTGCTCCAGATGAGTACTGCATTAAGCACATCCATGTATTCAGTACATTTTTCAGGCTTTGATACAGAGCGCCAGTTGCCCTCTGGGAGCCTGGCCAGTTTATACTCCCTTAGCAGAGGATGAGAGTACACAGTTTTGTGAACCCTGGGTATTAATCTTTATCAACGTGACAGGTCAAAATGGTATCTCATTTTGATTTATATTTTCAATTATTAGTGAGGTCAGTCATTCTTTCACGTTTGTATATCATGTGTGTATCCTCTTTTGCAAAGTGCCTGATTATATTTTATGCTCTTTTTTTCTCAAAGTACTCACTTCTTTTGAGTCTGTATATTTGCTAATTATTTTTTTAAATAAAACTTAATCGGATTTCGGAGCAACAAGCATTTGGGTTCTACTGGACTATCTGAATTGTCTGCTAATTTAGAGTCAGAGTTCTGTCACTACCAACCATGCAGAAAATCATGTGCTTCAGTGGGGACGGGGGACATTAGATGGACTTTTGCAAATAAATACACAAAAAATGGTCACTTCTTTCCACAAACGGTAACAAAATGTAATGGAAAAAAAGATTACTTTTATGAAAGAGAAAGAAAAAAAGGAAGGAAGGAAGGAAGAAACGAAAAGACAGTCTATTTCTAGATATTCTAATGAAAATTATGTATTGGGGGCTTTATAGGTATTCTAATAAAAGTTTTATAGGTTCTATATAAAGAAAATGTTCAATTCCGCTGAGGGATTTAAAAGAATGCTTACATAAATGTAAAGCCATACATTCTTAGAAAGTAAAAATGCCAGTTCCTCCCTAATTAGTGAATAAATGAGTATATTCAGTGGGATCACAGAGTTTCGTCAGGATTGGGGGGGGGGGGGTGGGATCCCGGAGAACAGCTGGGAACATCCTGTGGGAATAGACCCTTCCCCTGCAAGATGTTGAAACATGTTTTAAAGCTACAGTTATTAAAACAGTTTGGTTCAGGTGAAGCTGTTGACAGGTTAATGGAATAGAATCGAATTCAGAAATAGACTCACTTATGTATAAGCATCTAATTTAGGATAGGGTGTCTCATATCAATGAAGAGAAGAGAGATTTTTCTATAAATAGTAATGGGACAACCAGTTAACTTTTGTGAAGAAAAAAAAAAAGGTGGAGCCCCGCCTTACTCCTCATAGCAAGCTAAATTTCAGATGCATCGAGGATTTAAGATAAAAAACTGAGACAGTAAAAGTTCTAGGAGAAAGCATTGAATTTACTTGTAATCTTGGAATGAAGAATGCCTTTCTGTATTCCGTATCCTGTAATAAACCGTAATGGAAAAGAATGTGAAAAAGCATATGTATACATACACATATATACGTGTATGTACACACATATATGCATATACACATAAATATATATAAGTGAATTACTTTTCTGTACACCAGAAACTAACACAACATTGTAAATCAACTATACTTCAATTAAAAAAAAAAAAGAATGCCTTTCTAAGCAGTTTGCAGAACTTGGTAGTCATAAGAAAAAGATGGATTAATTGACTAGATAACATTTAAAACTTCTCTAAGGCAACTTTTTGTCATAAAGTCAAAAGAGAAACAGCAGACGGACAAAACCTGCTTCTTTCATTTACAAATAGGTAAGTAGATATTGGGACTTACGTATGACCCAATAGAAAAGTGGACAAAAGATAGGAGGTCTTCTAAGAGAAAGAATTCAGATGGCTGGGAAATATGCCTGAATTCACTCACAATTAAAGAAATACAGATCAAAACAGGAAGGTTACATTTTTGCAGAAATTTTTAAAGTTCAGTAATAAATTGTTTCACGCACTGTTGGGGGAAGTTTGCGGTGAAGCCTTTTGGAAGGCAATCTGGAAGCATCAGTCAGAATTTAAAATATACGTACGTACCTTTGACCTAGCAGTTACCTTGCTGGGAATTTGCACTACAGGCGAATCATCCAGGTACACCAAGAGGTCAGTGCAAGAATGTTCATTGCCGCATTTTCTAATTCTTATTTTATTTATAAATTAATGTATTAATTTGTGTCATTTTATTTATAAAAACAAAAAACTGGAAACAATCTCTACGCTATATCACTAGAGAAGTGGTTAAATTAGTGGGTCTCAGCTGGGGAAAGACCCCCCCCCCCCCCCCATCAGGGAACACTTGGCCCTGTCTGGAGGGCCATCAAGGTGATCTGGGCCTTGCAGTTAGGACCATTTTTGTTTTCTTCTTGGGGCTTTTCAGCATTTGCTAAATTTTGTACTCTGTGTGTTTGTGCATTTTTAAAAACGAGTTTAAATCACCCTCATGTCCAAAAAATAGAGAAGTAGTTAAGAAAATTGGGAACCATCTACAACGGTACTCTATGTGTATCATCCCCGTGAAGTAACATGGGCAAATAATCATGCTTTGATGAGACGTGAAGAAAGCTGGATTTAACCCCAATTAAGTAAAAACGTAGTTGGGAAAAAAAAGATCAGAAGCAATACCTTAAAATACTAATGGTGCCATTACTATTCTATATTTATACTCCTTGTTTCTTCTCCAACTTAAAAAAAATTTTCTTTTCCAAGGCGGTTTTAATTTACGATGGAGAAAACGTGTATAATTTAGAGGAAAGAGAGAGACTACAGAAGATGAAACACTTTGGTGTCCTTTCTGAATTCAGAAATTTGACCCATGTTTCTTTATTCGGTTTGCACTTTTGGGAAAAAACTTTTCTTCTCCTCACAGAAAAATGTCATGGAATTCCTGGCACCCCTGAAACCGGTGGCCATTCGAATAGTGAGAAATGCCCATGGAAACAAAACAGGTAAGGTCTGGGCTGTTTCGAGGGGGCTGGAGAGGCAGATGCTAGAGCTGGAAGGTTGGGGCAGTTGAACCGTGGAGATGTTTGGAGGGCAGCTACTTTTTTTCCTATTTGTGGTCCCCACTTCTGTGGATGTGGTGAAAGTGCTCAGGACAGGGGTCTGCCTCTTGTTCCCTGCCGCTGGCAGCCTAGTATGAGTTTTTCACCTGTGCAGGCAGGGCCCAGCCCCCAGGCCTGGGGGCTCAGTAATGACTGCGGCCTTCAGCCCAGATGCAGGGGCCCACCGGGGGCTCAAAGCAAGGGGAGGCCGTGATCAGATTCAGGATGGTCCCCTGGCTGGTGAGGGAAGGGTCCAGGGGCAGGGCCCAAGGACAGGTGGGCTGTGTGGGGGCTTTTGCAGTCCCCCAGGGGAGGGTCTTGTGATAGAGACCAAAACCCACAGGCTTTGGCGCAGGTTACGGCACTGCCACGCGTTAGCTGCGTGTCCGTGCGCACGTCTCTTAACTCCTAGAAAAGTGGGGAGGCGAGGTCTCTCGTGTTTAGGGAAGACTCCACATGCTTGTCTGTGCAAGTCAGGGCCGCGGGCACTGACGGGCAGTCACTGTGGAGGTGGCCCCTTGGTGCCAAGCTGGGTTGCAGCACCGCAACCAAAGGCATTTGTCCAGAGAAGGTCAAAGAGCAGGCACTGGTCAGGACAGGGTGAGGCTGGGAGGCAGGCCAAGGCCCTCCCATTTCTGAACGCTGCCTACAAAGGGAAATTTGCCTGGGGGGCATCAGGGAGTGTCTGTATTTTGGAGATTGGGTGAAAAGTACAGGTTCCCCCCCCCCTTTCTGCTCAGATTCCCCCAAACACCTAGCACAGTGTGGGTGTTCCTCCGTGACTCCCACGATTGTCTGCAGGGCCTGCAGACCTTACCTTTGTTGTGGTCCTTTCTCAGGGTACGTCTTTGTGGATTTCAGCAGTGAAGAGGAAGTGAGGAAAGCTCTGAAATGCAACAGGGAATACATGGGTAAGGATGCTGGGCGGCCCCACGCCACGTGGTGGCAGGGGTTCGTTCATTCAGTTGCTCTGTAAGGTTATATTGAGGGCCTGCTGTGTGCCTGCCGGGCACTGCCCTGGGCACGGAGGATACAGCCGTGAGCAGAACAGACCAAAGTCCCCGCCCTCCTGGGGCAGAGATTAGGCTAAGTTTCCTGTAGAGGAAACTGACATCAAGAGGGGAGAGACAGGCGGTAACCAGAGGGGCTGTGCTGTGGACAGATGCAGGAGAGGGCCAGGATTGGAGGAGGCGCATTTTAAACAGGATCATGTCAGCTTGGGCCACACTAAGCTGGCGACACTGGCACAAAAGCCAGAGGGGTAAAGGGAGCCAGCTCTGGCTTTGTGGGGCGGGGCTGTTCCGGTACAGGGAACAGCAAGTACAGGGAACAGCAAGTACAGGGTCTGGAGCTGGGAGGTCACCTGAACAAGATATCCAAGGACGTGCTCTTTGGCCTGTCCCTGGTATGGACAGGTGATTCAGGTCCAGCCATTGACCCCTTGTGAAGACACAAGTTCTGTTAGGGAAGAGGAGAAACCTAAGCAGTCTTGCTAGCAAGTCAGGTGGTAGGTATTTATTGAGCACCTACTGTGTGCATGGGGAGGTGATGGTGGTGGTCGTGGTCTAATCAGGTGCCCGGGGCAATGCATGGACGCAGTTCAGCAGCAGCACAAGGTGGCTCTTCAGGGTTGGGCTGTCACATGAGATGATTCCCAGGGCAGTGCCAGGGGCCGTGCCCTGGAATTGGGAGGATGCAGCCCCATGGGCCAGGCGGCCCAGGCAGGCTGCCCCCGAGCTAAAGCCGGGCTCGCAGGATAAGTGAGATTGAGGCCTGGCTTTGGCTGGGGCCGCCACCCTGGTTAACAGAGCCTGGTGTCTGGTGCTGTCACCAGCCACCTTCACCATGGCTTCCGGAAGGCAGCAACAGAGTCTGGAAGCTGGCAGGTTCCGGGCCTCCCCCGGGGCCCTGACTGCCTCTCCTTGTGCAGGTGGACGCTACATCGAGGTGTTTAGGGAAAAGAACGTCCCCGCAGCCAAGGTGCCCCCAGAGAATAGCGCCAAACCCTGGCAAGGCCGGACACTCGGGGAGCATGAAGAGGAAGAGGACCTGGCCGACTCTGGGAGGCTCTTTGTGCGAAACCTGCCCTACACCAGCTCTGAGGAAGACCTGGAGAAGCTCTTCTCCAAATACGGTAGGGGCGTGGCCTCCGGCTCACCACAGGCACCTGCAGCGGGTGGTCAGAGTCCCCATGTGCCTCCTGCAGCTCTTGACCTTGGGCTAATGACGGCCCCCTCTGGCCTCAGTTTTCTCATCCATAAAATGGGCCTCACCATCTCTGAGCTGCTGTGGAGATTCAAACAGTATGTAGACAGCAGAACTCGAAGTCCTAGATGGCATCACAGGCACCTTTCGTGGTCTGAACCCAGACTCCCTTAGCTTTCACTCACTAAACTCAGAACTGACGGAGTTTGGGTACAGTTTTCTGAGATGTCCCTGGTATCTGAACCCTTGCTCTGCTCTTGGAAGCCCACTCACTGTGTGTGTTGATATGAAGTGCTCCCCAGTCTGAACTCTCTTGTCTAAATAGTCTTGCTCTCCAGACCGAGCATCCGGATGCGTTTGCTAGTGAGGGCCATTTTCATTGTTGTCGTGGTTGCTAGCATTATTTTGCAGGACACAGACTTGAAGGCCTGTAGTTCACCTTGGCACATGGAGCTGTGCTTGTTTGTAAGGTCGTGGTTGTTGAAGGGAAGGAAGTTAGGGCTCAGAATGGCAGGGTGAGGTCTACATGCTTTTAAGATCCCCTGGAGCGTCTCCCTGCTTCTCTTTGGAGACCAGTTGTGGGTTGCAGGGGATCCGAGCTCGGTCGAGTGCTTGTCTTCCGGACAAGGAGGCCCTGAGTAGGATTCTGCGATCAGGCAAATTGGTGTCACCTCCTGGCCTGTGTCCTGCTGTCCTGTCGCCAGATCTTCCCGCACAGGCTGGTGCCCTGGTTTACGTGGCAGGGCCGGGCACTGGAGAGGGAGTCATCAATAGACTCGAAGTATCCATCCGGGAAGATAAAGCCCGGGAAGGAGGACTTGGTCACACCCTGGTGTTCAGAGTGGAAGGTGTATACTTTAATGTGAGCATCATAATAATATCCCAGCAGACACTTCTGTGGCCCTACGTCACCAGCAGGCACTGTTTAGTACATGACACGTATTAGTGCGTTTAACCCTCCCCGCCGTCCTCCGAGCTGGGTATTCTTAACGATACCATTTTACAGATGAGAAGCCTGAGGCCCGTAAAACCCTGTGGCTTGCCCGAGGCCACACGTATAGTATGTGATGCAGGAGGGTCCAGGCCAGACACCTCTGCTCTCAGAATAGACACACGAAGGGTTGTGGAAGGACACCCTGACCCATGAGGGGGTCTCACGGCAGCCCCTTGCCACCTTCTGTCCTGGGCCAAGCGGCGGCAGCAGCTCCACGCTCTCCCTGGTTAAAACCCAAAGCTTGACTAGTGCCCAGAGTTTTCTCACCCAGCTCTGGCCTGCAGGACACTGACGCCCTTCCTACCCTCAGGTCCCCTGTCTGAGCTGCATTACCCCATCGACAGCCTGACCAAGAAGCCCAAGGGCTTTGCCTTTGTCACCTTCATGTTCCCGGAGCACGCCGTGAAGGCCTACGCGGAGGTGGATGGGCAGGTGTTCCAGGTGATGGCCCGTGGGGTGGCGGGCGGCTGCCGGGCCCAGGTGATGGGGAGAGGCTGTGGGCGTGTGCGCGTGTGCGCAGGCACGAAACCACACCCACGCTTCTAGGGAAGCACACCTGATGCACGTGAAGCCGCCTCCTGATCCGAGCTGCCTCCAGGGGCAGGGTCCGCTCTGTCCTGTTCACGGATCTGTCGTTAGCCCCTAGAGGAGCACCTGGCCCATAGTGGGCCCTTAAAAAGTGTCTGTGGATTAAATGAACATGCTCTCTCAAAATACCACTTGGAAGCGGAAGGAGTAAGGAAAGAAAGAGTTTTGACCCAGTCATTGAAATGGCCACAGTAGAATATAAGAAACGCTTCTTTCTTCCAAATACCGTGCTTAGCACACAAGCCGAAGCCCCAGGCTGCCTCGCCTCCCTTTCCTGTTCGTTCGTTCGTTCATTCATTCATGATTTATTGATCCCCTGTGACTGCAGGCTGAACCTGGCTCCTGCCCGCGTGGAGCTCACACCCTCACAGGGACAGAGTCGGGTGGGGAGCCCTGCAGGTGTCACTTACAAACCGATCAGCGTCCTCTGTGAAGCTTTGTCAGGTGTCCCCCGTCACAAAGTCAGGCCCCTGTGCCACATGGCCAGGCCCCTGTTCTGGGTTCAGGGCGGCCTTGTGGGCATCCTGCCCGAGGCCCCGGTCTTGCGACAAGGGTCTCAGTGCTGGGTCCAGCCCCCTCGTGGAGAGGCCGACATACCCGGGGCAGGATGTAGAAGCGCCTGCCCCCTTCCTGTCTTTACCCCCTTCCCCTCGTCCTCCTTCAGGGCAGGATGCTCCACGTGTTACCATCCACCATCAAGAAGGAGGCCAGCGAGGACGCAGACGCCCCAGGATCATCGTCTTACAAGAAGAAGAAAGAGTCAAAAGATAAAGCCAACAGCTCCAGGTCCATACCTGCCTCTGACCCAGGCTTTGGCTGCCCTCACCCCTCCTTGCCTAGCTGCCAGGGTACCCTGACTCCTCATGGTGGCTTTAGCGCCTCATCCATAACTTTGCTGAGCCTCAGTTCCCTCATCTGCAAAATGGGAAGAATCAGTGGTGCCTCACTTTTGTGGTGTCATAAGGATTGAGTCAATGTAAGCAAAGTGCTTGGTCCCTGGTGCTGAGTAAGCGCTTGACAGACGTTAGGGCTTATTAATATCATCGTGGCTTTTGTTGTCTTCAGGCCCTGGTACTTGGCCCATGCCAAGTAAGATGGGGGAGAGGAGGCTTCGGGGACTTAGGAAGGCAGGCCCACAAGCGTGTTTCTTACAGGCTTTGCATCTGAAAACAATTGCCCCCATTCAGCCACGGTCTGACCTCTCTGTTCTGCCTCTGACTCAGCTCTCACAACTGGAACACGCTGTTCATGGGCCCGAATGCAGTGGCCGACGCCATCGCCCAGAAGTACAGCGCCACCAAGAGTCAAGTATTTGACCATGTGAGTGGGCGCCCTGTCTGATGTGCCCCCAGCTCTGGGCAGGGGAGGGGGTGGGATCGGGCTGGGGTTGTCCACCAGCTTGTTCTCTGGGGCCTCCCCCACGGAAGCATCCACCCTGCCCTGGCTTCTCGTGGGCGAGTGTGGAGCCACGTTGCAGAAAGGAACTGACGATGAGCACTTAGCGTGCGGTACTCCTCTCGCCCCACTTCCCAGATGAAGAACTAGAGGCCCAGGGGCACAAAGGCACTTGCCCAGGGTCACACGCCTGGAAACAGGCAGAGGTGGGGTGACCCAGGTCAACCCGAATCCACTGCCCTTGCTCTGAACCACTCCCCAGAGGTGGTCCCACCCACTTCTGGGCCCAGCCAGCCCAGGTCTTTGAGATGAGCACGGGGTAGGTCGTAGGTCTCTGACCGTCCCCTTCTTCCAAGTCTGACCTTGTTCCTCCCAACCTTCCCCTCCGTCCATTTGGCTTCTCCAGATCACATACCTTCCTTTAAATGCTGTGTCTCCAGTTAGGCCATGGCCAAGTTCATCTTTGGCAAAACCTGGGAGTGTGTTTTTCAGCCAGCAGGCAAAGGATATCCATAGATTTGGTCCATAAACTCGCTGGCCATCGTCATTTACTGCCCCTGCCCCATGCTGAAGGTCAGCGCTGTCCCCCAGAAATAGAATACGAGCTCCACACAGAATTGTAAATGTCCAAGGGGCCACATTTTTAAAAAGCAAAAAGGAACAGGCAAAGTTAATTTTCAAAGTTAATTTTTCAGAATAGAATCTATTCTATTAATTCGATACGGCCAAGATATTATTAGTTCATCATCCACAATATAAAAAAGTGACAGGCTGTCTTGCACTGCTTTCTTTCCCCTCACTGAGTGTTTAAAATTCAGTGCGTGTCTTACGCTGGGTTCGGACGCGCCGCGTTTCAGGTGCCCAGTGGCTGAGCTCGTGGGCACTGTGTTGGCCACACAGCTCTGGACCTCAGCCAGTCAGGAGGGGCTGCAGCTGGTTCAGATCCCACCAGTGCTCTGAGCACTGGGAAGAGAGCGGGGTCCTAAAGGGAAACAGTCCTGCTCTTCTAGAGCCTTCCAGCAGAGGAAGACACGGCTCATTAACAAAGGTGCCACATGTTGGCGTGATGGCTTGAAGAAGGCTGAAGCTGAGTAAGGGGAGAGGGTGTGAGAGTGAGGCAGGAGGCAGGCTGCTCAGGGGTGCGACATTCTAGCAGAAATTGAATGGAGGGCAGAGGTGAGCACACAGAAGCCCTCAGGTGGGAATGAACTTGGCATGAGTCCGTACATATGACTGGAGGGGAGGGAGCAGGCGGGAGATGGGGGAGGGGAAGCTGGAGGGGAGGCGTGGGGTTCTTGATTCACCCTGACAGATGCGGAAGCCAGAGCCATCAAGCCAGAGTGGGTATCCACGGGGGGAGCATCCGCGGGGGCCATCCGCGGGGTCCAGCTCCGGGCAAGCCTCCTCCTCGGGCTGTTGGGAGATGGGACAGCCGACCTGTCACCTGCCCGACAGCCAACAGGGCATCTTCCCTTTCCCTCCCACAGGAGACCAAGGGCAGCGTGGCCGTGCGCGTGGCCCTGGGAGAGACCCAGCTCGTCCAAGAGGTGCGGCGCTTCCTCCTCGACAATGGGGTCAGTCTGGACTCCTTCAGCCAGGTGAGTGCCCGCTGGGCAGTGAGCCGCTCAGAGCTCAGCCCCACCCCCCCCACCCCCGCCCCTGGAGAGCTGGGGGTGGAGTCTCACATCAGCGGATGTGTGGGCGGGTGGAAGGGTCAGGCCTTTCAAAGATGATTAGCATTAACTTTGCAGCTGTCCTTAAGAGAGAAAGAAAGATCATCAGCTCAGACTCGTGGCCCATTGGCCCATCGGACCTGGACGGTGTCCCTCGGGGGCCATAAGCAAGAGTTTCTCCACGCAGGTCGGGGGGGGCCCTAAGCATCCTGTTTCCCGACCTAGCACCTTACTAAGAGCACCTCTTATCTGTTTCGGGATCGAGACCTTTCTTGAATCACATAGGGGAAGGTTCCTCCACGTGCTTATTTCTTAGCAGGTAGAAGTTCTTAGGTGTCTGGATGATGAAAGCCTTGGAGGGCCCGCTGAGAGCATCTGACACCCTCCCCTTCGTCTTACAGACTGGGAACCTGAGGCCCAGAGAGTGGGGTGGGGACTTAAAGATCAGACAGTGAGTCTGTGGCAGGGGCCTGGACTCAACCTCAGGGCTTCTGACCCCCAAACTGCTGTTTCCTCAGCCTCACCAAACCTTAAGAGTTTCACCTTAAAAGGACGGTTAGGATGCATGCACCCCAATGTTCATTGCAGCACTATTTACAATAGCCAAGACACGGAAGCAACCTAAGTGTCCATCAACAGAGAAATGGATAAAGAAGATGTGGTACATATTAACAATGGAATATTACTCAGCCGTAAAAAAGAATGAAATAATGCCATTTGCAGCAATATGGATGGACCTAGAGATTGTCATGCTAAGTGAAGTAAGTCAGACAGAGAAAGACAAATATATGATATCACTTATATGTGGAATCTAAAAAAGAAAAAACTTATTTACAAAACAGAAACAGACTCACAGACTTTGAAAACAAACTTACGGTTACCAAAGGTTAAATGTGAGGGAGAGGGATAAATTAGGAGTTTGGGATTAACAAATACACATCACTATATATAAAATAGATAATCAGCAAGGATCTACTGTATAGCACAGGGAACCCCACTCAATATTCTGTAATAACCTATGTGGGAAAAGAATGTGAAAAAGAATGGATATATGTATATGTATAAATGAATCACTGCTGAACATCTGAAACTAACACAACACTGTAAATTAACTATACTGCAACGTAAAATAAAATTTAAAAGAAAAAGAAAGAAAACTGAGGCCCAGAGGGAAGAAAAGCACTTGACCCAAGGTTTCAAATTAGATTGGTGGCCAGGTGGAGACTCATACCCAGATGTGCCCTATGCCTGGAATCCTCCCATTAATTTTTTTTGGCTCTTTTATTCTCCATCCAGCATGCTTTAATAATAAAATAATTGCTAATGTTAGCAATTGCTAAGCAGCGTGCTTACGTCAACCCTTTTGATTGACCCCTTTCCTGGGACGACCCATGAAGTAGGTGCCGTGTCCTCGTGTCAGGTGAGGGGCTGAATACATTTCAGGTGCATTTCTCAAGGCCGTATATCTGGTGTCTTGGTCTGGGTTCTTCCAAAAGCCGACTGAGACAAAGATTCAAGCGCAAGTAGTTCACTGGACGGAAAACACTGGCGAGAAGGGACGAGGGGAGGGGAGAGACCAGCAAAGGGCATGCTCGTCCCAGTGCCACTGGTAGAACAGTGGGCTGGCACCTTCCCCGGGGGACACCGCCCGACTCAGAGTTGTCCCACCCAAAGGACAGGTGACACGCCAACTCCTGAGAGCTACGGGCAGCTCCCACGGGGTGTTAACTTCTGACTTGTGGCGTCAGGCGTTCTGCAGATCCGTGAAAAGACTCCTAGCACAGAGATGCAGATCCCGGCCCTGGGCTGGAGTGTCCTGGAAGGTCCAGCGAGGGCTGTGGTCGGGTGCTGTCAGAATTTGCCTCGGCTCAGTAGTGGAGGGGCCGGGATTTGACCTGGGGGGTCCAGTTCCAGAGCCCTCTCCCTCATCCACTCCTCGGAGCCGCCTCTCATCCACAGGGTGGCGTGCCCAAGAGGGTGGGGTCTCCTAGACCTGCTTCCTGAGGGCCTGGTACCCGAGGTCCCACATGGCCGCCTGGTCCAGAGTCACCCACCGATCAGTACTGGCGTCGGGGGTCAGTGACCCTCCTTTCCATCGTCCCACGTGAGCTGTCCCCTCCCTGCAGGCCGCTGCTGAGCGAAGCAAGACCGTGATCCTGGTGAAGAACCTCCCGGCCGGCACCCTGGCGGCCGAGCTGCAGGAGACCTTTGGCCGCTTCGGCAGCCTGGGTCGCGTGCTGCTGCCAGAGGGCGGCATCACGGCCATCGTGGAGTTCCTGGAGCCGCTGGAGGCCCGCAAGGCCTTCCGACACCTGGCCTACTCCAAGGTAGGGTCGCCCGAGCCCCGCTTCAGGGAGAGGACAGAGGGAGCTGACGGGCAGACAGTCTTGGCATAGACCTGGCACGTGCGAGCACTTGCTGGAAACCAGCCATGTCTGTCGGGATTGTGAATGTCATCCCGCCCCTGGGAGCACCTCTGGACGGGGCAGTGTGAGGGGCAGGCTCAAAACATCCTCCGGAAAGCCTGCCTCGGTTCCCTGCCGATTCTGGCTTTCCTCAGCTTTCTATTCCCCCATGACTTTGAACCATCATCCTCGGCACTTTGGATATCTTACACCTACAATTAGTTGAAAGTCAATTCTGTGGGTGGGCTACCTCCTGATTTTTGGTCATAAGGAAGAAAAAGTTACATGTGTCAGTGTATTCCTTTCTGTGGCTGCCATAACAAGTTACTACCAGTTTAGTGGCTTAAAAAAAGAGGAATGTATTCTCTCACAGTTCTGGGGGTCTGAAGTCTAAAATCAAGGTGTCCAAGGGCCATTCTCCCTTCAAAGGCTCTTGTGGGTGGGGGGAGGGATCTTTCCTTGCCTCTTCCAGTGCCTGGTAGCTCCACGTGTCCCTTGGCTTGTGGCCGCATCACTCCAGTCTCTGCCTCTGTCCACATGGCCTTTTCTCCATCTCAAATCTTCCCTCTGCTTTTCTCTTACATGGACGCTTGTGACTGGATTTAGGGCCCACCCAGATAATCCAGAATGATCTCATCTCAGGATCTTTTATTTAATGACATTTGCAGAGGCCTTTTTTCCAAATAAGTCCACAGTCATAGCTTCTGGGAGTTGGAATGTGGACATATCATTTGAAGGGCCACCATTCAGCCCACTGCAAGTAGCTTCTCTTTATCAAGGACTTTAATGCTTTGCTGACTGTTTGTCAGTGTCTTGTTTATCCTTCTTTAAAAAAAAACCTCTCTGCATGTACGTATGTGTATTCTCACTGCCTGTGAGTGGAGGGAGAGAAAGCATGGTTGGTGTCCGGCGGCCCTGTTGCACTTCCTCTAGGAGGGCTGCCCTGTATCAGTGATTCTGCTCCCCCGTCCCGCTCCCTGTTCACACCCTTGACTAGAGAAAGCACCGGGGGATGCAGATGTGTTCAATGACAGCAGATGCTGCAGCAAGGGGATCATGCAGCACATGGAGTTCTGTACTCGGAGCCTCAGGCTCTTTGTCTGTGTCGTGGACTGAGTCCCTCCCCCGCCCCGTCTCTGCAGTTCCACCACGTCCCCCTGTATCTGGAGTGGGCTCCGGTGGGCATCTTTTCCAGCCCAGCCCCACACAAGAAAGAGCTCCAAGATGCACCAGCAGAGCCGGCCGGAAAGGACAGGATGGAGCCAGAAACAGGTAAGAGCTGGGCCTGAGATCAGGATGTCCTGGGGCAGCAGGCAGGGGAAGGACAGAGGGCTAGGGGGCAGCACTAAATTGTTTATCAGGTATTTCTTTTAAAGTTCTGTATTCATCCTGAGACTGGTGGGTCCCCATCTCTTGAATTTTATAGGCACGTAAAATGTCCTTAAAAAAAATAGAGCATAAAAATTCTGGATACAACATAAGGTAGCCAACTATCTTGGCTTATCAAGTATAGGTTGTGAAAGGAAAAATTTAAAAACCCACTAGAATCTGTTAACAGGGATTCGGAACAGAGCAAGAGAAAATAGCCTTCTGGGTCGTATTGATACATCCGCCGGGACGGATGAGCAGGGCTGTTGGAGAGGTTTATTCTCCGGGGTCCCTGGGATGGTATGGCGCCCTCTGGTGCCCAGTGGCTGCAAAGGCAGGAAAGGGAAGGGAGGCGGGGACCCAACCCTCAGCTGATGCTTCACACTGGGGTGAGGAGAGGGCGCTCCTGGCACTCAGGGCAGCGCAGTTCTTCCCTGTCGGGACTGTTCTGCAAATTGTAAGACATTTTGCTGACCCTGCCCACTGAATGTCAGGAGTGCCCCTGTAATTGTGACGATCTAAGATACCCCTTCCCTGTATGCCAGATGCCCTCTAGGGGGCAGTGCAGCCGTCAACTGAGAACCACTTAGGGGACCACGACTCCATCCTAGAAGCAAAGACCTTTAGAAAAGCTTTGAAGAACACCCTTACCCAGATATTAAGATCTTGCCCATCGGTAATATCCCTCCTCCGTACTTCCATCTTAACGTAGGGTTGCCGGTTGATTAAAATAAGGATTAAAAGAAATACATCTCCTGTATACCCTCTCCACTGTCCTCATAAAAGAATGGGGGTGGGGATGCGGAATTCTCAGATTAAAGAACAGTCCTTTAACTGAATAGACCTCCCTGTCCATAAACCTCCCTAGGCTGTCTGCATTTCCCAGTTCATCTTGGATCAGTAAAACCTCCTCAGGACTGGCCCAAGTCACTACAAGGCATTTGGGAACCCCTGGTCTAGAAGCCTTGTTTCAGTCAGGAAGGAAAATTCTTCAGTCTCTGCTTTCTGAGGCCCCCGAAAGCATCCCTTAGCCATTGGGGTTACCTACTGACCACTGATATAAATCTTTCAAAAGCCCCTCACTAGCCCCTGTTGAGTTATTTTTGTCCACAGATTGGATTAGCGTTCTCTTCCACCGTGCTTATGCTTCCATCAAGAAGAATTCTCTTTATATAGTCACGGTTTCTTCTTAAGTAGCCATCACCCCCAAATTATCAGCGACCTTGGTTTCAACTTCAGTCACTAAACTTGGACATGACTAATGTTTTTCGGCCAAAAGCAAGTCCTCCTTTAAAGCACAGACTTGCCAGGAGCGACGGCCCTGGAAACAGATCCAGCAGAGGCCTCTCCTAGCTTTGGCGGGACCACTAAGTATGGCGCCTCCCCGCGGGGCCGCTGCCCTGTGGCCACACTCTTTTGCAGGTGTCCCGGTGCTTCCCTCCCTTCTCTCTGTTGTTTTCTTCTGTGACACTCGTCACAGTTTGTGTTTATCCTGTTTATTCGTTTGTTTTACTTGTTTAACATCCGACGCTGCCAGGCAGTGAACCATGCGAGGGCAGGGAGTGGCCGGGGAGTGGCTGTCTCGCTCACTGCTGGGCGCAAGCATCCCGTAGGGCCCCGGGCGTGGGGTAGCTCAGGAATATGAGTTGAAGGAGTGAAGGAATGCAGGAAGAAGGGTTTCTGTGCCTCTCTGTCTCTCTTTACCTGTGAAGAGTAGGGCTGGGCCATCCTTGTCCTTGTGTCCCAAGCCCCGGCACATAGTAGAGCTTGGTGACATCGGCACATTTGTTCTCCATCGTTGTTTAAGCGTCAGAATGTGGCGCCATCCATCGCGTAACCGTGGCTCCCTCCATGGGTGCTGATTTACACCCACCCCCTCCCCTCACCCTTAAACTTTGTTTTAAAGGCTTATTGCTTCCCAGAAGTGTGTCATTATGGGTTCCCTTCCTCAGTGTCTGTCTGTCTGACTCCCTCACTAGACGTCCATCCCGCAGGGCGGGTACCTCATCTGCTTGTGCACTGCTGTGCCCCGGCACCCAGGAAGGTGCCCGGCGTCTGGTGGGAGAGCAGTCAGTAGGTGCTGAGCGAATCCACAGGCAAAAGCAGCATTTCCTCCATGCCCGGCCCTGCACTAAGCACTTTGGGTCCTCCGTACGTGAGGCTTACAGCTCCCGGGAACCCGGGGAAGTCACTGTCTGCCTTGTCCCCGCCTCGCCCAGTGACTGGGCAAAGCCACCAGCCTTCTCCGAGGCTGTTCCTGCGTCTGTAACATAGGCAGAAGGCCTTTGTGCGAGTTCAGTGAGAAGCCGCCCGAGTCACCGTTTCTCTGACCCTCGTCCTAATTCAGCAGCATAAGGTGAAGTGGATGGTCTCTGACTCAGCCCTGAGCACCAGCTGGATTCCAGCCACTGAGCTGGGGCGACCAAGATGGGCCCAACACATACCGCTTCCCCAGAAGCTCCCGGGCTGCTAGGAGGACGGGTGGGGCTGTTCGGGGGTAGCTGAGATGTCACAGTAATAGAAGTGGGCCCTGGGTGCAGAATGTTCTGGAGCACAGCGAGGGGAGGCTTTGCAGAGATAGCATGCCCTGGTCGCAAGGTAGAGGGCTGCCCCTGCCTGCCCCCAGCGTCCCCTGGGTGGCCGGGCCTAGGTTCCGGTGTTGAGAGCATCCCAGACAGACTGTCCCCAACAGGCCCTGCCTCTTAGGGGGCTGCTGTCCAGGGTCCTGCCACCCCTCACACAAAGGAGGCCTCGGAGCTAGGAGGAGGGAGCCAGTAGTTGCAGCAAATAGATCGGATGGGGACCAAGAAGCTGTGCACGCCTGAGCTGATTTCACGCCCCGCTGAGTCCTGTGTCGTCAGGCGGATCCCCGCAGAACTCATCTCCCGAGCCTCCTTTTGCCCTTTTTTGTTCCTTTTCTTACCTGTATCACATACACGGTCCCCTCCCTGGTCCCCGAGCTGTTCCTTTTCACCTGCTGCTCCCCCACGCCCGCCCCTCTGCACATGGTTCCTGAAGCTTCCCAATTTCCCCATCCCCACTGCCGGGGACCAGCCGGCCCCCCAAGCCCTGGATTTTCTCAGGCTCCGCAGGAAGGCAGCAGGAGGGGAGTGGACAGAGAGGGTTGTTTTGTTCACCAGCGCCCCCCTCCAACCTTTCTTTTCGGCGAAGCCCTCCGTTCCCTGTACCGTTCTCGAGGGAGGGGGACAGTGTGTTTTATCTCCCCACAACCAAGACCCTCACCTCCAGATAAAGGGCTCCAAGTCGGGGGAGGTCCTGAAAAGCTGCTTGCAACTGCTAACAGTCTCTGCTGTCAGCCTTCCGCGCAGAGATCCGGAAGGGGGAGGGAGCGACCGTAAATTCTGCGGCCTGATTATAATAAAGCCCCATGTGGTAATGCGTGACTGGATTTTATGTGCCAACTACAGATGGACGGTGTTCCCCCCTGCCTCTCCCAGCCCCCTGCAGCCCACCTTGCTTTCCGAGCCTTCCTCGCACCCTCACCCCGCCCCCGCCCCCATCCTGCGCTTCTTCCCACTTTTCCTGGTTCCTGGTGAGGTCGTTGGCAAACATCTGTTCGTTTTGTGATACCTCCTTTTTCCTTGCTAGTCTTCCTGTTGTCACCCCACTTGAGGCCAGGGGCAGAAGTGCTTTTCTTTCTCTTTTTTTTTTTTAATTTATTTATTTTCTTTATTTTATTTTTGGCTGCGTTGGGTTTTCGTTGCTGCGTGCGGGCTTTCTCTAGTTGCAGCGAGCGGGGCCTACTCTTCGTTGCAGTGCGCGGGCTTCTCATTGCGGTGGCTTCTCTTGTTGCGGAGCACGGGCTCTAGGCGCGCGGGCTTCAGTAGTTGTGGCACGTGGGCTCAGTAGTTGTGGCTCGCGGGCTCTAGAGCGCAGCCTCAGTAGTTCTGGCTCACGAGCTTAGTTGCTCCACAGCACGTGGGAACTTCCTGGACCAGGGCTCGAACCCATGTCCCCTGCATTGGCAGGTGGATTCTTAACCACTGTGCCACCAGGGAAGCCTGGCAGAAAAGCACTTTTAACAGTGACCTTTGGCTTCGTCGTTGGCCCTTGGCCGTTTCCACACCTCTCTGGGCATGGGTTGTAGCAGGGCCTGGCCACTTGAGCGGGGCAGAAGCTCTTCCCAGGGATGTGGCCGACAGAGACACAGTCCCCTGCACTCAGACCTGCGGCGCTGGCTGTTCTTCTCAAAAGCCTGCAGCTGGCTGGCCTGCCTCTTCCGGCAATGGGCCTGCGGAGGTAGGGATTCCTGACATTTTCCCCTGGCCCAGACACTGTTTTATCTGGGTTTCTGTGCGTTAATTCTCATAATTGTCTTGCAAGTGGACCCTGTGATTGTCTTTCTCCTTTTTTGAATGGAAAGAAGGAAGCATAGGGAGGTTGAGTGACTTATGCAGAGTCACACATCTGGAAAGAGCTGGGCTGTGCCCAGAGCCACCAGCTCCCAGGTCTGTGCTCTTAGCTGTGACCCCACAGCTCCTGTCGGTCACACTAAGTGCCATTTGTGTAGCAAATCATCATCCACCGGTATTTTTGGAGCATCTGCTCTGGGCCCAGTGCTGGGGATGCAGAGGTTACTGAGTCAGATGTGGTCCCACCTCAGAGAGCTCCCCTTGTAGCTGGGGGACACAGAGAAGTGAACCGATAAGGTGATTTCAGAAAGGGGTAAGGCCTCTGAAGGAAAGGTACCCAGGGGACTCTGATGGCAAGTGGCCAGGCCTGTGCTGGGGACAACTGCACAGGAGGAGCTCTGAGGGGAGGATGTTTGAGCTGAGACCTGACAAGAAGCCAGGCCTGGGAAAATGGGATGAGCAGAACAGGCAGAGGAGACAGATGGCAAGTGCAAAGGCCCTGTGGCAGGGACGGGTCTTGGCAGGCTCAGAGATCAGAATAGAGGCTGGTGCAGCTGGAATGGAGAAGGCGAGGAGACAGAATGGGAGAAGCTGGCAGGCCAGGGACAGGTGCCGACGGGAGACCAGTGAGGAGAACACGCGGTCATCCACACAAGAGGCAACGGTGCCCTGGAGCGGGGACCCAGCGTGTGATGGAGTAGCAGACATTCGAATTTCCAAAGAAGACAGCGGAGAAAAGGGGGGGGAGGGGAGGGGAGAGGGGAGAGGGGAGAGGGGAGAGGGGAGAGGGAGTGTGTAGCTCCATTTTCCAGGTGACGGTACTAAGGCAGCGCAGGTAAGCCGGTCACCCAGGGCACACAGCTAGTGAGTGGCCTCACGGGGACCCTGACCCAGACCACTCTCACTTCGAAGGCCGTGTGCTTTCACAGCTCTGCGCTGCCTCCTGACTGCAGTCTCTGGGCCCCCTTCTCGTTTTCTTCAGGCCCCCTTTTTTCAACAGATCTCGAGACCAGGATGCCCTTGTCTTGTTAGCTCTTCCAGCATCCCAGGGGGAGTCGCAGATTGGGGGAGGTGGTGGCTGGGTACACAAAGGTTTGGAGAAACAATGGACATCGCTGTGCTGTTGGAGCAAAGCCAGGCTGCATTTAACCGTGTTTTTTATTTCAAGCTGGATGTTCTCCCGGATGTTGGGGGTCAGGGGCGTTGGCTGACTTAGTAGAAGTGGGAGGAGCCAGGCCAGCTGCACACCCGGGTAGGTGATAGGTCCTGGCCGTCCTCGCAGTCCCCTCTTGTTCCCCCTGGGCTGGGACTGAGGGCAGCTCACCCTCCGGGGAAGGGATCTGTCTGTTCCTGGGGTGCCAGCCCTGACTGCAAGCTCATCGCAGCTCTGTCACGAAATCCAAACATCACACTTCCTGGGCAGGGGCCTGTGACCTTTGAAATAAGTGCTTTGAAGCAGACCAGCCCTTGCTCCTGGGGCAGGGAGGCAGGAAGGAGTGGACTCTGGCCCTGCTCAGAGCCCCTGGGCTCCCCAGAGCTGTTGTCCTTGTGAGGCTTCAAATCCCTGGAATGCCACGCTGGGAACTGGCTGGATTCCAGGCCCTTGGGAGAGGCAGAGGGACGGGTCGTTGGGCTTTGCCAGGCTGGAAGTGGGGAGCAGAGCACGAAGGCCCATAAGCTGGTTTAAATCGATCTGTTGACCACTGCCTAGTACAGAAGCCACGGGCCGCTGAGTTAGTTGCCAAGAGTTTTAAAATGTGGGTTTTCCCATGAAAAGCTGGATTTTCAGCTTCTCGTGAAAGCTCTGAACACCTGGCCACACTTGGGTTGATCTGTCCTCGTGACAGCAATTGGCCAGTGCCGCGAACGGGCTGCCCCTTAAACCGGCACGGCGCTCTCCCAGTCACCATCATCCCCCCCATTCTTTTCTCTACAAAAAAAATTTTTTCAGTCTCCCATGAACCTCTCTCCCAACCTGAAGATGCCTGAGGTTTAGAGTTCAGATGCAGCGAACTCCCAAACTTTCCACGGACCACCGGTTTACTGTGATGGAGCTGCTATGGTCGGCGGTGAGATAGCATCCTCGCAGGCCTAGCCCAGTCCCCGCACGCAGTGGGGCATCTGCTTGGCACCCCTTCCTCTCTCCTTTTATCTCTGAGACATCAGACGTGGGGCGAGCCAGTGGGGTGGGTGTCCTTCGCAGCTGAGGGGCGTGGTCTTCCTTTCCATTGAAGTTCTCTTTCACAACCTGGAATCTTAGCCTGTCTGCTTAGCTTTGCTTCCCCATCATTAATAATACTTTTTCTACCCTGCTTTGCTTTGAAAGTTGGGTTTTGAGGACAAATGGCCACACCACGGAGTCCCCTGTTGGGTAAATTGTGTTAGTTTCTTGGGTGGGGGAAGGAGCCTTTATGTAGATTTCTTCTTTTTTGTCCTGGAGAGAGAGTCTGGATTCTGGGTTCACCTCCGAGGGAGTGTGAAGGGTGAAGGCTGCCTGTTCAACTGATGTGAAACGGACAACATCCTCACTGTCGCTCTTTCCATTAGGGCTTGAAAGAGTTGTTTTATGACAAAGCGGTTGAAGTTCAGTTAGGACTGGCCAGCAGTAGGCTTGCATCAGAAAGGGCCGGGGGCGATGGAGAGGGCTCTCGTACTCGGCGTGAGAGCGTGGGGGACGGGTTTGAAGCCCCGGAAGCTCCCTTGGCCTTGAACTACTTGCATGCAAGTGGGCACAAGAGAATGGAGTGTCCCCGTCTGCTGCAGGTTGGCACGTGCAGGGCTCAGACCTGAGGGGAGGGTCAGGGCCACATGCTCAGAACCATGAGGGTGGGAGCGGGCGGACATCTTCGAGAATGGCTGAGATGGGGTTTGATTTCCCCGGGGGCTACGGGAGGAGCTTCCGGAGCTTGAACGTGGGGGAAAAGATGATTGTCCCCAGGCCCCGATCATGTGAAAAACTGGGGAGGTTGACCCAAACGGAACACATTTTTCCAGCAGCGGAACTTCTCAAGAGGTCACGACGCCACCTCCAACCTCGTGAGGCTTCCGGCACCCCCGGGTGACATCCACGTCCTCCACCAGGGCTCCATCCTGAGCTGCAGCCACACGGCCGCCCTGCTAACTCACAGCCTCACGCTTGCCCTTCCCTCCTCCTGCAATGCTGTTCCTTCAGAGTAGGCGTGTCACAGGGGTGGGAGTGACAGGATGGAGCCCTTTGTAATCACAGTCTCCAGAAATAACCAGGAGCGCGTTACTTTCTCTTCTTGCGTATGTGTCTCGTAAGCTCTGGGTACAGAACGTGATTGGGGTCACGTCGTATGTTGTTTTGCACCTTCATTTTTCTCTTAATTTTTCTGTCATGCGCATCGTTCCACGTCTTTAAACATTCTTCGGAAACGTCATCTTTAGCTACATATTAGTGTAGCCTTTGGTGGCAGTATAACTCTCCAGATCTCTTCTTTATGAATATAGTGGGTTTTTGTCTTTTTTTCAGTTTTTTGCTGTTATGTGTAGCTCTGAATTGAATATATTTTGTGTAGATGAAAACATACTCTTATGTATATGCTTTCTGAAGTTATGTATATTGGGGATTTTAAATGAACGTAACATCCCTTAGGTTCAAGGGGTATTTAGGACATTCTGAGTTTTGCTCCCATTCTGTAATTTTTGCAGTTTTAAGTTGCATTTTATTTTGAAAGTTCGCCAAGTGCTGGTTTTTGAGGAAAAAGACCACGTCGCTTACATTTGCAGCTCACAGTAATTTATTTTGAGGTTCAAATTATATGGATTATATAATGTGGGTCAGTCTAAGTTAAGGCTTCTGGGTTTTGGTCTGTGCTTCATACTCTTTTCTCTTTAAAACAGAGGCAGGAAGCACGGCGGTCTCTCCCCTCCCTCAGCCCACCCCCGCAACAGTTGCTAAAACCCAGCACAAGCTGTCCCTTCCTGACGCTGCCCACTCAGAGACAGAACCCCCTGGGTCTGGCAGGTTCTGTGCTTTAGGTCCCGGGGCTTAGGCAGATAAGGCATCATTTAACAGATTTGTTTTGGTGGCGGGGTGGGGGGGGGGCCCGTGCAGACGGCGAGACCCCAGAAGGTGAAAAGCTGACAGAGGGAGCAGCACACGACACTTCAGCAAAGGTGGAGGAGGAAGAGGATGAGGAGAGCCTTCCCGGGTGCACGCTGTTTATCAAAAATCTCCACTTCGACACGACCGAGGAGACGCTGAAGGGGGTGAGTGACCGCTCGGCCCGGAGGGAGCGGGCGGGGGTGGGCGGGGCGGGAGACCCAGTCTGCTGATGTGGTCACTGTGTTTATCCTGCCTGGACGAGTGACTCGTGGCAGCGTGTAGCTTAACAGCCAACAGCCACTGCATTGACACCTCCACCAAGCTGTCCAGTAGACATCTCACCCGGAGATCGGAGTCCTGGCCAGACCAGTCTGGGGGCTGGCAGGGGCGCCTGCATGCACTTGAAGGGGACCTCTTGGGATGCGGTCTGAGAGCTGTAGTCAGAAAACAAAGCCCCTCCCCAGATGGTGTCTGTGAGGGTAACCACCCAAAAGTAAACGCCAACACACCCTCCTGGCCTGGTGGGAACACGCAGAAGACACAGCACTGAGTGAATCTGGAGGAAGGGCAGTCCTGCCTGGAGTCCTGATGGGCTGAGAGTTTTGCATTCATAGGAAGGGGGTGGAGGGGAAAAGGATGGGGAACTCCAAGTACGCATTGGGGAAATGCCAAATGATAGGCGCTGGGGGGCTTCTAGAAGGAATTGGGCCAGAGATCTGGAAATGGGGATTCTAGTGCCAGAGGACTGGGGTCTGCGAGCTCCCCCACTGGACTGAGAACTGTGCATGGGGAGAGTCTCCATTTCTGTAAACTGGGTTTGGCACAGAATAAATGCTCGATGCCTTTTTTTTTTTTTTTTTTTTTTAATGCATGAATTGGTGATTAGCAGCCTGACAGCCATGAACTGGTTCTGGAAAGGAAGAAGGCCGTGAGGATTGAGCTGATTGGTTTCTGTAAATTCTTTTGAGCTCTGAAATCCTAGAGCTGGATTCAAGAGGGGAGACGGGGTCCACTGAGTCCTAGAGGCAGGAAGGTGGTGGATGGGTGGAAAGGAGGCCAGCCTGCATTGGGCGGGAAAGCCCAGGGTGTCAAGGTGAAGCAGGAGAGCAGAGCGTGCACGCTGGGACCCTCTGGCTAAATCTCCAATGTGACTGTCACTTCCAGTTAGAAAAGCCACCACAGCAGCAGAGGTGCCTGGCAAAAGCAGCAGCATTTTAAGCGCAGAGGTTCGCCCTCTGGGGCAATGGGAAACCCACCCTTGGACTTTTCTTGGGCTACTTCCCGAATCCGTTTTGGTCTGGTTTGAGTTTGCTTTTAGAAACAGGCACACACTAGTAGTGTCCAAAGGCTAGATAGCTTTGAAGAGGTCAAACCAGCTTGTGGAGGGTTTGTTTTTTATTTCTGCTGTGCTGGCCCCCCCGTATCTGGTATGGGGATGTCGTCAACGGGAACCATTTTTTTCCTGGAAGATGTGCCCAAGCTTCAGTCTAAGAGCATCCTTGGAATTAAAGGACTCTGGAGCTGGAAGGTACAGCCAAAATGATCTAGTCCAGGTTCTTCATATTACAGATGTGGAGACTGAGGTTCAGAGAGGTCAGTTCACTGACCTAGGGTCACACAGCCCATTCGAGGCACTGTGGGGAGCAGCGCCCAGCTCACGGGGCTCCTGTTAACAGCATCCTGAGTGGAGAGTTGTGCTTAAGGGTCAGTCTGCCTGGACTTGGGTCCCAGCCTCACTCCTTACTAACAGTGTGACCCTGGGCTGGTCCTTAGGCCTTTCTGTGCCTCAGTTTCCCCATTTGTAAAAAGGGGGTGTTAATAGAATCTTCTGCGGAGCTGTTTGGAAGATCTGATTAGAATGAATGAGATAATTCAAGTAAAGTGTTTGACAGTCGGAATAAGAGAGTCAGTGAATCTCAGCTGCGTGCGGTTCTTGTTTGCTGGTCGGGATCCCCCCTCCCCTCTGCTTCCCCTTCACTCAGTCGGTGAACAGTGACCCGCACCTGCCTCTCCCTGGGCCCTGTGTGTGCTGTGGAAGACACCGCAGAGAACCAGAAGGACAGGAATTCGCACTGGTCAGTTCTCAAATTCTAGCAAGAGAGACAAAAAAAGTAAAGGGAAAAATAGAGCAGAATGTGATTTTTGAAAGTTTTAAACATTAGTTGGCGTTAGGTGCAGGGGCAGTGAGAGGGTCAGGACTGGGGTCAGTGGACTCCAAGCTTCTAAATGTAGGCCCAGCTTCCCCACTGCATGGCCCTCGGTGATTCCTTGGACTGTTCAGTGTCCCAGGTCCTTCTTGGACACTGGGAGCCAGGACCCAGCCCAGCAGCCCTTACGGGGAACCCTAAGGGAGCGTCCAAGCTACTTAAAGTAGTCCATGATCCAGTGCCTCCAGATATTTTTGGGACCTCCGAGATGATATTAGGGCAAATTTGGGGAGCCTAGTGTCTGACCAGGACCCCCACCTGCACGGCGTTTAGAACCTGGGCTCTGGCGCCTGGATCCAACTGTCAGCTCTGGGGCTTCGCAGCTCTGTGACGCTGGGTGCGTCTCTAACCCCTTGGAGCCTCAGTTTTGTCATCTGCAAAACGTGGGTAGTAACACCTACCTGGTAGAATCACTGCAAGGGCTGGATGAGTTCATGCAGGCAGAGGGCTCGGGCCAGGGCCCGGCCACGGAAGCGCATCCAGGGGTTAGCTCTTCTCTTACTCTCGCCCTCTCCATGCCTGCAGTTGCCTGGTCCCCTCTGTCTTTCGAGACACGCCTACACCAGGTTGCGGGATTAGCACAGAAATTCTGATAATACATGTCGACATTCTCTTCCAGGTGTTTTCCAAAGTGGGTGTGGTGAAGAGCTGCTCCATTTCCAAGAAGAAGAACAAAGCAGGTATTTCACAGGAGATCTCAGTTAGAAAGGAACGATTCTGAAAGAAACAGTGTCGCTCTGGGTAGGGGTAAGGGTACCTCTCTCTTGCTTATTCTGAGGGTCTTCTTTCATTCTGAAGCATTGGCAGCCCCACGCTCTCTCGCTTGGCTCGTCTAAAATGGTCCTCCTTTCTGGGTCCCTGGAGACTCCTGGTTTCCGGTGGGAGCAGCCATGCATGTCAGATTCTTCTGAATCTAGAACCTTTGCCACCCCGGACTGTCGGGTGTTTTCAGAGCAGTACGATTAGAGGGCTGGCAGGGTTGACACTGTTCGGTGGCAGAAGCCTCTCCCTGCTCCCAGCATCTCTGTGCTCTGGAAATCTCCAGGGGAGAGCGAGAACAGACCCGTCTTGGGCTTTCCCTCTTCCCTTCCAAGAGAAATGACCCAGATGTAGAACATCCGGAACACTCCACTGAGTCACCAGCCGCGCACCTCACTGGCCCCTGGGTGCCTGGGCCACGCAGACCCCACCCTCATCTCTCCTGTCAGCCTCAGGCGTTGCCACGAGTCCCTTGGCGTCTCTCTGTTTCTCCTCCGGCCCTGGCTTCCTGCAGGTGATAGACGGGCCATTGCTCCTGGCTTTCTCACAGCTGTGCACTCCCCATCCCTTCAATTTGCCGGGATTTGTAGGAATGCCACATGGGCTGTCCCATGGCTGTGTCCTGAGAGACTAAGGAGCTAGTGGTTACAGCACACAGCAACAAGGGGTCTGGTAGAGAGGGCCCTAGCTGGACAGGAGCCCAGGCCAGGGGTCTCCACGTCAGACCGCGACCTGGAGGGTAGGGAGGCAGAGCAGTCAGCTGGTGGGGGCGAGGTGTGGGTGGCGGAGGCGGGAGAGGGCGTAGTAGCAGGTCGGGAATGTATTGAAGAGGCAGAAGACGCACCTAGAAAGGTGGGCTGATTCCAGATCACAGGATGGCTTGCTGCCAGGCAGAGGGGTCTGGGCTTTTTGCCAGAGGAGCCTTGGAGGGTCTGAAGCAGACGGGGGGCATAGAATTTGGGGAGTTCCTTGTATTCGTTTGCTAGGGGTGCCATAATAAAGCACCACAAACTAGGTGGCTTCCACCACAGAAGTTTATTACCCCACAGTTCTGGGAGCCAGAAGTCCAGGATCAAGGTGTGGGCAGGGTTGGCTCGTTCTGAGTGCTTGTGAGGGAAGGATCTGTTCCAGCCTCTCTCCTTGGCTTGTAAGTGATTGTCTTCATGTTCACATGGCATTCTCCTGTGTGCACCTGTCCTGTGTTCAGAGTTCACCACCACCCCTTTTTTTTTCTTTTTGCGGTACGTGGGCCTCTCCCGCTGCGGAGCACAGGCTCCGGACGCGCAGGCTCAGTGGCCATGGCTCACGGGCCCAGCTGCTCTGCGGCACGTGGGATCTTCCCGGACCGGGGCATGAACCTGTGTACCCTGCATCGGCAGGCGGACTCTCAACCACTGCGCCACCAGGGAAGCCCACCCCTTTTCTTTTTTATAAGGATACCGATCGTATTAGATTAGCACTTAGCCTCATGACCTCATTTTTGCCGTGATTACCTCTGTAAAGGATCTATCTCCAAATACGGTCACATTCTGAGATGTGAGGGTTAGGACTTTAACACACACTGGGGAGCTGGGCACAGTTCAAGCCATAACATCCCTGTTCACCAGGAACCGCAGATGTAGTTTGGGCTACAAGGAAAGGCAGCTAAGCACCGAGTGAACGACATGAAGGCTCAGTTTGGGGGGGTCTGGGGATGGAGTTCAGGAAAAGAGGTGACCCCTGAAGTCTGGGGGGTGAGACAGGCTGGCAGAGGGGTCGCCAGCTCCATCCAGGGCTGTCCCTGCAGGTTGTAGTGTCACCGTGCCCCTCTCTGCAATCAGACGCTCTGTGGAGCCTGCCCCTCGGCCCTCGGGCGCGCTCTTCAGCGTACTTTAGAACAGTTATCTGATCTTTCAGTGCCATGAGCAGCTCTTGAAAGCTACACTGTCTTTTTTAAGAGCCTGTATTTGAGAGCCCTACTCTCTGGGGCTCATCCATCACAGCTTGGGGGGAATCTAGATGGTGTCTGTTATCAGCGAGGGTCTCAGCAGGAACCAGAAAGCATGCTCAGCTGGGGTTGTCAAGGAGATGTTTGTAGTGAAGGGGCCGAGTGCCCAGGTCTGGGCTGGGCTGAGGGGACCCACGGGAATGTCGAGGCAGTGGATCATGTGGGAGAACGCCCCTCCCCTGCAGAGCCCAGAGGCCGTGGGGAGGGAGTGGTCTGACCAGAGCCACAAAAGAAGGGCCACCAGCAGAGCCAAGGGTGTGGGTTGGACACTGGCGCTGCCAGAACCGCGCCAAAGCGGGGAGGCGATGGGGTGTGTGGAAAGAACGCGGGCCCCAACTCTACCTCCTCCACCCGCCTATGTCAAATCGGAGCTTTCCATTGGGTAAACCGAACAGGAAACCAGAAGGCCGGGGAGCCCAAGTCGTGCTCTCTATGGACATCAGCGTTCCAGGGCAGGAGAAGGACAGAATGGATCTGCACAGCGTCAGTGAATCGGCAATGAACTTGACTCTCTAGAGTTGCCTTTAACACCATCTTAATGAGCTTTTTAAATATCCTACGGGCACAGACCTTCCAGCCTTGGCCCTCAGAACAGTGTTTTCACGTATCCACTGGAAAACAAATACTGAAAGTCACCACGGGGTGGCGCTACCCATCAGCCATCAGTTCTTTCTGAACCTCCTTCCTGTCGCCCGCAGAACCATGTCTGGGCTGTTTGTGGAATTTCTTCCTGCTTTGGGCCCTCGTTTTATAACACGTAGTTGTGAGTAGAAATGCAAACAAGCAGGGGCACAGCCTCACAAACAATACAGACAAAGATGAGGATTGCTGGGTCAACAGTGGTGAACTCTGAGCCTCGTTTGGGCCCATCAGCCTTGAGCCGACCCTCTTTGAGTTCAACTGTGAAAAAATAGAGAGTAAAATTAGCAAACCAGCATGAACCGTGGGGGCGGAGGCATGCATCACATTTTGTGTCAAAGAGCAAGGTGTAATTAGAGACCTTATTCTTGTGTGCCCCCAGTTATGCATATTTACATTCAGGAAGCAAAGTTCTCTATAAATTTTGGAGATACCCCTGGCTATCTGAACTCTTGCTACTCACGACCCAGCAATAGGGAACCAGAGGAGTTCTAACGAGGTGGTCACAGCCTCCCTGTCCCAGCCTTATGTCTGAAACCCAGGAACCAGGTGTAACCAGGTGGTCAGAAATACTTTGTAAAGAGTAAGCCTTTGGCGTGCTTGACTTTGATGCATGTGTTCGTATTATGCATTTAGTATGGAAGCAGGGGACTGCCCGGGTAGAGCTTTTGCCGCTTGTCGTGGCGATGGTCACCCCTCCCTCCCAAAGGCGGGATTCTATTATGAAGTTAATTATCACGTCGATCATCTGTTAATTAATAGCCAGCTGGGCCTCAGGTGGCGGCTGTATAACCTCGTTGGCTGATTCTTCAAGACGACTGGTAATAAATGGCGAGCCGGGAGCTGGGATCTTTTGGGGAACAAAGAGGGGCATGAAGAAATGAGAATGTCGAGGGGCCGTCCAGGGACCCCTTGGAGCCCTTGAACTTGGTCTGGTGCACCTTCTTCGTTTTCCTCCCTGCCTGGCGCCCCCGTACGATTCCCACCCCTCTCTCTCTCAGGCGCGCTGCTGTCCATGGGGTTTGGATTCGTGGAATACAGGAAACCGGAGCAGGCCCAGAAAGCTCTCAGACAGCTCCAGGTAAGTGGGCGTTCTCAGCCGAGGTCCACGGGGGCACGAGGCAGGTGGCGTGGTATCCCGTCAGTCTTCGGAAATTGAGTGGGAATGCAGAGCAGCCCACATCTTCCCAGGCCCGTTGCTTTCTCCAGTTCCCTAGGGGTCTGTGGCCCACGGCCTTGAACTTCCTCAGCCCCCCACAGTCACTACAAGGCATTCCTTCAGTCTGCAACTCTTGATCAAGAGCCTGGTTTGTGCCAGACCTCAGGGAGATGGGTGAAGCAGACCTCTGAAGAAATACGCCAAGACCAGGTCATGAGAAGTGCTCGCGTGCAGATAAAGCAGACACTGTGGTGAGGGGAAGGCTACTTTAGATCGCGTGGTCAGGAGAGGCCCTCTCTGAGGACGTGACAGTTGAGCTGACACCTAATTGACAAGAAGGAGTCAGCTACACAGAGATCTCGGAACAGCACGTGCAAAGGGCCTGGGGCAGGGACTCTGAGGCAGGAGTGAGCTTACTATGTCTGAGGAGCAGAAAGAGGCCAGTGTGGCAGGCACAGGGTACAGGGTGGGAGCTATGTGGAGTTGGATCTTGCAGACCTTTTATGGACTGTGGAATTCAACATAGAGGCAGTGCGATCCCATTAGAGGGCTTGGAGCACTTTGGGGAAGGATCTGATTTCTGCTGCAGAACAATCTCTCCAGCTGCTGTGTGGAGGGTGCATCATAGGAGGGCAGGTTGGAGACCGCTGAGTCCTCCAGGCACAGGTCAGGGTGGACGCAGTGACAGTGGGGAGAAGGGGGCTGAACGCAGAGGTGTTTGGGACACAGACTTATGTCCTGCTGAGAAAGGAGCGATGCCCTCCTGCTGGGTCGAAGTGCAGGGACAGATCAGGGCCCTGGATGGCAGGAAGGGAGCTGAGGTTACAGGGAGCAGAACAGAGCCCCAAAGTGGGCCAGGCCTCAGCTTAAGACAGTGTCCTCAGGGCTTCCCTGGTGGCACAGTGGTTGAGAGCCTGCCTGCCGATGCAGGGGACACGGGTCCGTGCCCCGGTCCGGGAAGATCCCACATGCGGCGGAGCGGCTGGGCCCATGAGCCATGGCCGCTGGGCCTGCGCGTCCGGAGCCTGTGCTCCGCAACGGGAGAGGCCACAACAGTGAGGGGCCCGCTTACCGCCAAAAAGACAGTGTCCTCAGCACCTTCCCTGACACCCCACGTCCCCAGGCCCTTCGGTGGCAGGAAGGGGACAAGGAACAGTGCTTTCTCATGAGCCTCTTTCTTTCTGGAGGCCCACTTGCTCCAGGGGGTCCAGGATCCCTTTTAAACCCTATTCAGAATGTCACGTGTCTGTATAGGCCATCCAGGCAGCGGCAACGTAAGATGGAGTTGACCAGGGCCAAGTTGACAAGCGAGCGCGTAGCAAGCCGCACGCCCTTCCAGCTCCCATTCTCTCTTAGACGTGTGCTTGGGCCTGCACAGCTGGGCTGGATACTGGGTGAAAAGGGCACCCATACCGGCCCACCTCCCTGTGAAGCCTGGCTTTATAGGGACCCTCCAGGTGATGGAGTCTGTCCCAGTAGAGCTTGCTAGTCAAGCGAAAGGTCTTGGGGATTATAGGAAATGTAACTGGGCACTTAGCCAATATGATCGTTTTTGTAGAATTTTGATGACCCTCCCCTTGGCCCAAAGCAACTCCAGGGAGGGCTGAATTGGGTTTGGGTGGGGTGGCGGGGAGGGATGGCCTCTGGGGCCTCTGCTCTCACTTGGAAAGTCTCTCTGCTCTCCACCTCACATGCCCATGGGGCCAGGCTAGCCGTAAACTAGCGACGGGGCCAGCACCACCCAGAACAGAACCTGGGCACCTGCGCCCCTTCTAACGGGGCAGCCACTTCTTGGCCTCAGCCAGGTACTGCCTGACGGGCAGGTGGGCCCCAGCCATACCAGATCTTCTCTGGTTTTTTGTTTTGTTTGTTGTTTTTTCAAGAGACACTAGAAATCCAACTTTGTCATTAGATGCTGTGTACTCACTTAACTGGATTTCAGCTCTGCACACCCAGTGGTCTGTCTTTCTGTTCCATGTAATTCAGGAGCCTGTCAGAGTCTACCTTGCACACATTAGAGTTATGTTCTGTGCCTCGCTGTGTGCTACATACGGGCATATTGCCGCAAAGAACTGTTTATACGAAGCTACGTGTGCTGTATTTTATGGGAGACTTTAAAGGATTTTCAAGGGTAATTTTGCTAATACACCAGTTTTGCCTTAAGGGACCCATGTTAAGAGCCTAGCTTTAGATGCATCTCTGCTGTGATTTAGAATTTTTTTTTTTAACGGCCTACAATCCAAACCAAACTCTCTCTCTCTGCAAGCCAGACCAAAGGGGCTTACTTTGCCTGAAAATGCTTATAAACAATGGAAAATTCTGTGCCCCTTGAATGGCTTAAAGGTCAAGGCCCACTCGTGGCTCCAGAGGACTTGGAGGGCTGGGTCTCCGTCACCACCAGCTGCTGCCTGGGCTCAGCGGGAACCACTTCCAGGAAAAGCCCTTCTCTGTCCTTGACTCCAGCGGGCTTGTCTCCTGGGAACAGTCAGTGCCCCCTCGAAGTTCTCTCTCCCCTCACTCAGCCGAAGCCCACTCCGGTGAAGGACAGGGCTACGGGTGAGTGCTTCTAAGAGGACAGAGGGACAGGCTGTGTTGTCTCATCTCTCAGGGTCACGTCGTGGACGGCCACAAGCTCGAAGTCAGGATCTCAGAACGAGCCACCAAGTGAGTCTCCCCTGCCCCCTCTTCCTTGGATTGAGTCCGTCCCTTTTGTGTTGATGCCGGTGCCCTGGAGGGTGTCTCATGGTCTTTGAACATCCTCCCCGACCCAACCCCCGTCACCCTGGGACCCCTTCCTAATTAAGGAGGCGTCCCGCATGCCAGCTCCGATACCCATTTCCCTGATAAACTGGGACCATGCCAGTCCCCGGAGTAAATGTGTTAGTACACATCTATTATAACAAAAGGAACACAGGCAGGAGAAGCAAGCAAAACCCACTTATCTTGGCCCTATAAATAAAACCAGGGAGACTTGCAAGTTGCTGGAGCCTTGGACAAACCAGAGGCAGTGAGAAAACCTAGACGTCTCGCATTACGGGGCTCTCTTTCTTGGAGCCGGACAGCGGCGCCCAGAGACGGCCTCCGCTTAATTTGAAAGAGATTCAGTAGATGTTAGAGATGGAGACAGACCACTGGACCCAATGACCAGTTTCCTAAGGTAGTGGAGGCCTCTTGGGAGTTTTAGTTTTGCCCCTGCATCCTCACCCTTGCAAGTCCTGATTGAGCTAATACACTGGAGGTGCTTTGAACAGTGCCCGGCACGCAGCGCGTACCTGGGGTCAGCCGTTATCATTGTTGTCATTGTCAATCCCATCTGTCCGCCTCGGGTGATGAAGTGACTGCCTCTAACAATCCTTGGGCTGGTTTAAGATATTTATTTGATGGTTTTCAGAAAGTCGGTCATTTGTAAAGTAAAATGTGAAAGTCGGTCATTTGTAAAGTAAAATGTGAAAACTGGCGGTTGTGCATGAAGCATCTAGCACATGGCCAGCACGTGATCACTCAGCCAGTGACGCCGGTCTCTCTTCTCAGTCCCCTGACTCCAGGGAGTCAGGCTGAAGTCTCCTTGCAGGCTCCCAATTCCTAGGCAGTGTTCATTTAGTCTTTCTTTTATTCAACAAAAAATTACAGAAAGCCTCCTGGGCACCAGACACTCTTCCCAGGAGCTGGGGAGGGAGATTCCTCATGGGGTTTACATTCTAGGGCAGCGCTATTTGATGGAAGTTTCTGCGATGATGAAAACATCCTATAATGTTCTACATCTGCACTGCCCAGCGTGGTAGTCACTTGCCACACATGGCATTTGAGCTCTTGAAACGTGGCAACTACCACTGTGTTAATTATCTATCGCTACATAACCAAGTATCCCAAAACTTAACAGCTTAAAGCAGCAGACGTTTATTATCTCACAGTTCCTGAGGGTCAGGAATTCAGGAGCAGCTTAGCTGGGAAGTTCCATCTTGGCATCTCTTATGAGGTTGCAGTCAAGACGTTGGCCAGGGCTGCTGTCTCATCTGAAGGTTCAGCTGGGGTTGACGGCTTCACTTGCAAAATGGCACATTCACATGGCTGTTGGCAGGAGGCCACAGTTCCTCACCGTGTTGGCCTCTCCCTAGGCTTGCACAAGTGTCCTTACAGCCTGGCAGCTGGTTCCCCCAGAGCGAGAGAGAATAGGGAGGAGGCGGCAGTGTCTTTTATGACCTGGGCTCAGAGCAGGAGAGGGGTACACAAGGGGCATGAATACCAAGAGGCACAGACCATTGGGGACCATCTTGGAGGCTGGCTAGCCCAGCAACCGAGGAGCTGAATTTTTAATGTTGTGTCACTTTAATATCGATTTAACTGTTAGCCACGTGCAGCTGGTGGCTGCCGTGTTGGACAGCATAGCCCTAGAGGACAGACCGTGAAGAGAAACATGACTGAATATGTAATGTGCTCTTGGATAGTGCCAGGAACATCGAGCCGGGGTGGGAGTGGGAGTGGGCTGCTATTTTAGTGGAGACAGTTAGGGAGGAGGTGACCTGGAGCAGACTTAAAGGAAGTGAGTCATAACCGTCCTCATAATCACAGCTACCGTTTATGGAATGCTTACCCTGTGCTAGGCACAGTGCAGAGTGTTTTGACGTGTCCTTCATTAAATCGTCAAACAATCCGATGAGGTTGGCACTGTTATTAGGCCTGTTTTACAGTTGAGAGGCCAAGTAGTAACTTGTCCAAGATCACACAGATCCTTAGTGGCCAACAGGGCATTCACACCCAGATTGTCAACTCATGGCTGTGCTCGTGACCCTCCCCTGCGTCCATGGAGTGGAGGGTTTCCCTGGAAGAGCCAGGGGGACAGGTTCGGGATGGCCTTGAACCTCAGGTGGAGAGAGTTCCGTCTCACAGCCCTGACCCACCTCCATGGTTAGAAACTGCTCCAGGCCCCTGGATTCTGCGCTTCGGGTTCGTTAGGAAATGTCTCCAACAAGACCTTGGGACCAGCCAGCGTCTTTCTGGGCACCTGCAAAGAAAGAGACAGAGGAGACTGGGTTTAGGGAGAGACTGCCCCCACCCCCCCATCGGAGTTCTTTCCTCAAGTCCCTGCTAGTCCCTGAGTGTCTTAGATGAAGGGCAGCAGACACCCCAGGGTAGGATGTGCCGACTGGACATCCACAGCTGCTGGGGGGAGAAGATAATTAGGCTGCGTGCCACCCAGGGGAGCCCGCCTCCTTCCCTTTCCTCTCAGCCGCGTCCACGCAGAGTCCCCGAGTCCCTCACCTGAACAGAGGACAGGAGCATCGGTGCTGGTGGGGGGAGGGGGCCGGTGGAGTCAGCAGAGGGCAGCAGCTGCCGAGGCCCCGAATAACCTGAAGCCTTTCCGCCGACCCTCCAGGCCAGCCCTGACATCCGCTCGGAAGAAACAGGTGCCCAGAAAGCAGACAACCTCCAAGATCCTGGTGCGGAACATCCCCTTCCAGGCTGACAGCCGTGAGATCCGCGAGCTCTTCAGGTGAGAGGCGCTGGTCTGGTCCGCGGGGCCGTCGTGTCGGGGGGAGCTGCTGAGCCTTCGGGTCCTCGATGGTCTGCTGAAGGCCAGCGCAGTGGCCTCTCAGAGGTCATCTTCTGGCTGCCTTTGATGTATCTCCCTTAATCTCAGACATTGCTCTCCAGACCGCTGGGCAGAAACATGTCCAAACAGGGCAGTCAGTCTTCTTCATCCCCACCAGCGACCTGCAGGAGGGGCAGGGAGCCAGGCGGCTGACGCCCAGCTCTGCCCATGATCTGCCTGAAATCCTACCGCCCAAGTCATCCTTTGCTTTAAGCCAGTGGCCCACTACCTTCTCTGCACCTTTGAATCATCACCTGGTGACTTTTATAAATACACCTTTGCTCAGGCTCCGCCCCCAGAAAGTTGCATTCAGTTGATGAGGGGTGGAGCCCAGATGTTGGTATTCGGATCAGAGCGCCCCAGGGGACTGGTGTCCAGCCAGGGCTGGGCAGCACACTGGTCTGCACTGCTGTCTGTGGAAAGCCCGCTTTGAAATGAGGGGGGGCCACCTGCCTAAGTAATGCAGTCCACCAGCAGATGCTACAGCACAGGAGTCAAAACCCAGATCTCTTGGGGGCCAGGCAGCAAACAGCCTGGCAGAGCAGACTGGGTGGGAACTGACGGACTGGAGGGCCAGCGGTGATGCTGGGCAGGGACGCAGATGCCATAGGACCAGTTCTTCCCGCGTTTGAAAGAGAAACTGGCAATCTGGATTCTTGAGTTGGCACCTAATTCACTTTCTAAAAACACTGTGTGGGACAACGTCTACCTGAGGGCCGGCTATAACCCACGGCCACGAGTTTGCAACCCCTGTGCCAGTACATTACACTGTTGGGTTTTTCAGATAAGTTAGGTATCACCCAGCACCAAGCCTTGGATGAAACGTCTTTAGAGAGAGGGCATAAGGGGGAAACGTTTATAAAGCCAGGGCACTGTCCAGGCGTGTGCTGTGTGGCACAGAGAACAGACCCTTCTAGCTGTCAGAACCTAAGGCAGATGACATCAGCCCCAACCAAGCAGATCACGGAAGCTCGGCTGCAATCTAAGAGTATTCTGGGGACCTACAGCTCTGTGGCCTGCATAGAGGTGAACATTCAGGATTCTGTGTACTAGACTTTGTTTGTTTAACCTGCATTTGTCCAGTTCTGGCGTGAAGATCAGGAAAGCTAAATCCCGATTAGGATTTTACCAATTAGCATCTTGCCAGGTCAGCTGTGGTTGCAAAATGTAAGTCCTAGATTTTGGAGACTGGAAAGTATGTATTATCTTTGTGTGAAATCTACCCTCTTTGCTCCTACTCCGTGGTGTAAAGAATGGGGAACCCCTTGAAGGGTCTGCTTTAAAAATCCCTGTCGTCTTCCCCCCCATTCTAAATCATACAACTGGCACACAATTCATTAACAGACATTTAAATTAGCCCAGTTCTGATGCAAAGACGGGGACCCTGTCGATTTCTTAGTAGAAGGGTCTTATCTATGATCCCAGGGTCCCCTGCGTGGTAGTAACAGCCTGGTAAGTTGGGGTCACCATCTGCAGGAGGCTGTTTTCCATCTCCCAGCATCTGGGGGGACGAGTCAAGAGGAGTGGGTCGCCGTCACAAGAAGGTATGTATCCCGAGCCTCGCACGGCCGCTGGTTTCAACCATGCTTCTGCTTTTTAAAGAGTCCAATTTAAGAACTGCCAGATCAAAACGGGATGGCTCTGAGCAGCACGTGTTGATCAGGGAACAGCATCCTGCCGAAATGACAGTTTCGCTTGGTTCCGCAGCCTGTTGAGGATGACACTTATCCAGGGAAACAAAAGACCGCAAGGGGAAGGGAAACGCGCTTTGTCTGATCTCACGTTTTATGTTTATTTTGAGAAGACAGGGAATTAGTGTTTCCCGAACATCATTACATGTGGTGTCTCTTCCTGCCATTGTTCTGGTGGTAGCTTTCATCAACCCCTGGAAATCCAGAGCCTGCTTGGAGCCTGGCTTTGTTGTGTGTTCTGGCCGGGGGTTTGAGGCCCTTCCGAGCGCGGGCAGCAGGGGTCGCTGTGAACCTTCTCTGGGAGACGAGCTCTGCCAGGAAAGCACACAGACCCAGTTTCAGACAAAGCCAGTGGCCAGCAAAGGTCAGAGCCAGGGGAAGATGTCAGGGTTTAGGGGAACCAGTCCGGTCCATTTTGCCAGGCAGTTTTCATGGAGTTATCCTACCAGGCGTAATCAAAATCACCAGCTCACTGTGTGTTGGGCTCAGCCGCATGCCTCCTATGCTGTATCTTTTGTTAAGCAGCAGAGCAGCGCTGCAGAGGAGGGATGCTGTTACCCCTCAGTGGAACCACCATCCCGCACGTGTGTCGTTTGTACCAGGCACTGTGCTAGGTGCCCGGCACGTAGCCATTTCAGGAGAGACAGGCTCCTCTCTCAAGGAATTCACTGTTTGTGAAGGACCAGGAAGGAAAGCGACAGTGACAGTCGCACAGTGACACACCCGGGGTGTGAGGGCATGAGTGCAGCGCCGTGGGAGGGCATGGTCTGGTTCTTGAGACAGCCCGCTGGGGGACAGCAGCTCACCCGCCCTCCCCAGCCGCTGGGGGCCCTGCCCGAGCACTGGGGTCAGCAGTTTCTCAGCCGAGGCAGTGTTTGCCTGGGCCTTTCCTGGGGGCCACCAGCCTTCCACCCGGGCCTCACTGCACCACACCCCAACCCCTTAAACCCAGCCCGATGGGTGCCAAGAGGCCCTGCAGATCCATGCCTCTGCGGGATCGTCCTCTGGGACAGTTCGAGGCTCGCCCTTTAGAAGAGCCAGAGAGTAGACACAGCAGTGAATTAGGAGACAGCAGTTCTCTCTGCTGCCCCCTTTCTGGGCCTCAGTTTCCCCTGGCATAAGATAGTAGTCATAATACTGGTGACGATGTGTGCTACGAATTTCGATAATGAGGCTACTGTTTGTCATGATCAGTGCAGTAGATTTTTTGAGCGCGATCTCTGTGCCAGGCACTGTGGGCTGAAGCGCTTTGCCTGATTAGCCCCGTGGAGCGGTTGTCGTCGGCTCCGTTTCCCAGTGAAGAAACCAGCTCCAAAGCCCAAATTCCTACCCACTGGGTTGTCAGATGGCTCGGGCTGGCACCCAGCTCCCTCACCATGTGGCTGCCTCAAGGGTTGTTAAAAGGATTAAGTGAGATTATGCATGTGGGGCACTTAATACAGCACCTGGTATGGAGTGGGTAGTTACCTAGCATTAGCTGTGGTTATTAAACAGCACAAAGCCAGCGGCTCCAGGCTTTGAACCCAGGGCAGGTCTGACTCGACAGAACCCGTGTCGCAGTAGTGCTGACTCCTTGGAAGTTCTCTGCAGCATATCCTTTTTTTTTTTTTTTTTTCCTCTTTTCCCTAATTATCTCCCTCCCTCCCAGCTCCCCGCGCCCTCCACTGTAGTGCTGTCCCCCTGCAGCTAGGTTCTGGGGCAGAGAGGGTCAGTAAGGAATGTGAGACCCAGGGCGAGGCCGAGCTGCTCCTCCTCAAGCCCTGAAAGGACATGTGGAGGACAAACCGGGGTTCCCCAGACTGCGCAGGGCACACACGGATGCAGGGAGCCAACTCCTCAGCCCACAACCAGAGCAAGGATGGGATGGTCCTCGGCTCACCCAGCAGGTGCCCACAGCCTTAAGTCAGTATCGATTCCAGAAGAAGATGTAAAGTGGGCATCCCCCTGCTCTCTGGGGTGACTGTGGGTTAGGTGTGCGCATGTGCATGCCTGTGCTAAGTTGTTTTGCTCAGTTGTTTTTTGTTTCACATCTTTTTTTTTTTTTTTTTTTCGGTACGCGGGCCTCTCACTGTTGTGGCCTCTCCCGTTGCAGAGCACAGGCTTCGGACGTGCAGGCTCAGCGGCTATGGCTCACGGGCCCAGCCGCTCCGCGGCATGTGGGATCTTCCCGGACCTGGGCACGAACCCGTGTCCCCTACATCGGCAGGTGGACTCTCAACCACTGTGCCACTAGGGAAGCCCTATGTTTCACATCTTTATTGGAGTGTAATTGCTGTACAACGTTGTGTTAGTTTCTGCTGTATAACAAAGTGAATCAGCTATATGTATACACATATCCCCATATTCCCTCCCTCTTGAGCCTCCCTCCCACCCTCCCTAAGCTGTTTTTTTATTCTTTTCCCGCCTCCATCCGAAAGGCTGGGTTTGAAAGACCCCAGGGCAGAAATGTGGTTCAGAGAACAGACCCTCGGATGCTTCCATGGAGCCTCAGTCCGTTCGCTCAGTGGAAGCCTCTACATTCAGGGCCTCCCGTCCTGACGCACAAGCGCGTGTGTGCAGAGCCAAAGCATTTGATGGAAGGGTCTCATTCCCACCCACATTTCAAGTGATGGCCCTGAGATAGCAAAGACCCCTTGGGAACCAGGTGGCTAGTGCCCGCGAGCACTTAGGAGGCCTCGGACACTGAGCTGGCCACATCCTGGGCACTCATGGTATCAGTGCATCTTCAGAACAGCCCAGCCTGGTGGAACTATTGTTGTGTCCATTTCCTAGATGAGGAAACTGAGGCACAGAGAGGTCAAGGGGCTATTGCTAGAAGGACCCTCAGCTTGCCCATTTCTTTTGTACTCCAGGGGCAGCCTTGATTTGAGGCACCTGGTTTCTGAAAGGCAGTGATCTTCCAAGAAAGAGGTTCCCCAGACAGGGCCAGCCTCGTGAACATCTGACCTGCATAGTCCCGCAAGGCCTCACACTTGGTTTCATGCTCTCCTGTCGCCATCCTGCAACTCTTAATTTTCCAACAAGGGGCCCTCAATTCTCATTTTACACTGGGCCCAGCAAACTATGTAGCCAATCCTGCCTGCAAACCAATGGAAAGATCAGATTCGGAGCCAGAGTATAGTTTGGCAGTCAGCCAGCCTCAGTTTTCTCATCTGCAGGAGGGGATTGACAGTCACGCCCACTTATCCTCCCTCCCCAGGCAATGAAAGG